AAACAAATTATATAGGCAAAAACGTTTTTGATTTTGCCTCTTGGTAGCCTACTTGCCCCCTAATTACTATTAAACACTGACTGACTAGTAGTAATTGTTTCACAGACGGATGAAAATGACTCTATTTCATGGTAATGTAGTGTACGTAAGCAATCAGATTATTATAGATTCTATAATATGGTTTTATCAACAAGCTATTAACAATGGCATTTATCAGTTATTTAAATTTATTCTGACAATGTTGCTTAAATTTCTGTCGCATCCAAGAAATGTTGCAAYAGCTAATTGGAATTTTGACGGCCCTTTTTCTTAAACTTAATAGATTTRAATGATATTCATGAATTGACATTCTAGAGCTTAACCCATTAAAGCATAGCCATAGACAACAGCGCAAAAAAGTTGCGGTAAAAGCTGGTGACTTTTACTTAATCATCAATTCAAAATTTTGAAATTATTTGTAAACTTAGCATAATGACAGCATAATGACAACTGAAAAGGGTGCGACTTCAACCTGAAGATTATGTTATGTCAAATAACAGGCCAAATTAATGTACATTTGCATATAAAGGGTCAATGTTTTTTTGTCGGCTGTCTGATCTTTTTGCATTGCAATTTGTTCCAATTTGTTAAAATTCATATCATCACTTTGACATGTCTCAAGTGACCAAGCTTTTTATGGAATAAAATGACTTCTTTTGATCTGTGAGCGAGTCTTCTCAAAAATGTACACTCTCCTAGAGATCGTAAACATACAAAATCGATCTTTTTCTACACTAAAACAGGGGTGTAGCTTTAATATATCATTGAATGGCATACGATTATTGAAAATTCAAATGACCATRTTAGTAAGCAAGTGAAATCATGTATAAACGCCTCGTTTCGCATTACATATCCAATTATTATTTTAAAAGACAATAGTAATCAGTTTTATTTCTAAAAACCGTTAAATAATAAACACTAGAGCGAAACCGTAACAAGATTTTGTAAAGTTTCTACTGACGCTGCTTTCACGCGTCAWGTTTCCCGCGCAACTAGACCAAAATTAGGCATTAGCAGCATTCAGCTATGTATAATTTCAAACAGAAATAGCTCTTTAAGCTCAATGAATTTCATTCATATTACTAGACAGTGGCATGACTATTCACGTGTATTTTGCATATAACACACTCTCTATAATTTTTTGCAAGCTTAAAAGGTACTACTTTTTAAAAAAAGTATTTAGACTTATCGCACTATATTGAGAGATACCCGTTAAGCATTAAAATGGTGTTTTCTTTACCGTAATTTTGAATCAGCTGGACAAAGAATAGACCAGAATAACTGTAGACCAGAGTTCGCGAGACACAACACTGATCCACTGCTTTGGTCTGCTATATTCAGTAGGAATGTTTCATTCTTCCAACTACACCTTATCTCCCAAGAAACCTGGGCAATAGAACTGGTGTAACAGCCGGTTAAACTGGGGGGAAAAAATAAAAGACTGCAAATTTTGAAAAATTGTGGTCGACTTGCGGCAAGCCGCGGACAATGAATACGCTGTGGCTGAACAAAGGGCAACCTATTCCTGCTAACACATGCCTGTAGTTTTGAAATACTATCAGGAAGGACTGTCCACTTTTAAGAGTTGTCAGTCACTTAGGCATATCGCAGCCATGCAGTTCAGTGTCCAACTAGCATATCTGACTGTCAATCTTTTTGATCGACTAAGAAGCTCAAGCAAACCAGATCCGGTCTGTTGATGTAAACTAAAGCATTTATCGATTGGTCAATGTATCTTGTTTGGCGTGAAACTAGCTAGAGAAGGAAGCTTGCATGGAGCGAAAACCTGACAAGGTGAAGAATCATTAGAATTCTCTCCCGCCTTTTTACCCAACGGCTTCGAAAAATCTTTGTGGAACAGATTATAGCACAAATAATATATATAATCATAAAGGATCCCATTACTAGGATCCTTCCTCTACGAATTGGGTTATGGAACATTGGCTGCCCAACTATTGCTTGAGAAAYGGAAAAGAACGAATCATTGACGTAATACCACAGGTAACCCGMATTTTGCTAAGAGCGCGCGATAATACTAGTACCATAGTTATTCTCAGTTATGCTAGTACTAGCGTAAAATAGTGCGCACTCGTTATTTTCCTTCTCTAAAGCAATAGTTGGGAAGCCTATACTACTGTCGGCCAATCAGAAACCCCTGTTTTGCGCTGAATTTATAATGAGCAATTCTAAAAATAGCATCAATTAAKAGGAGTAAATCCCGTTCTAACAACCAATTAAGAAGAGGAAAGCTTCTAGTAATGGGYTCTTGTATATGAGGATTGACAACACAAAAGGTCGACAAAGCATTACGGACCCTTGATTCACTGGGTGCATGAAAACGTATATTTTGGCAGGCTATATATATCGAGAAAACMTGAAAATGGGCAATCTCGAACCCAGAGCATGCGATCTCTTTCGGTCAGCGACGAGAACTAGTTCAACAACCACCGAAAGAGAACGCAGATTGGAAAATAGATGCTGTGTTGCTATTTTCTCCATGCTGGGATCCCTGTCCTTTCAAACTGCTGACCAACTATATTGTACACTCAGAAAATCCAATATGGCGGACGACATTAWAGACAAATCCTCAATTTCATCATGTAAAAACTCTTTTCCAGCCGAGAAAGACTTGATTAGACAAGGTTATAAATATTACAAGAGAAAGCGTCCACCTCCTGACTTWAGTGAKGTAATAGACTTCAACAATCCTGTACAATTCAGTGRCCAGATCAAATGCAAAATGATAGAGAAAGTTTTACACTCTGAACATGGATTACGATGCAGCAAAGACTGGAAGGTCTATGARCTAGTGTCTTGTCCTGGATTTATGTTTATAGTCAACCCATTTTTACAAGAAGGTCARCGTTATTGGACACGTCGTTGCATTGAAGATTTTACTCGGAAACCAAATGTTTCAAATTTAGATGCACATATGACTATTAATGATGATCAGTCAGTTTGGGAACTTAGCAAGTAAGTAAAATTATATTTTTAGTATATTCATAATTAATAGAGTACTCAAGTGTGACGTCACAAAAATACTTTTTTTCAAATTTTTTGTATTCGTTGAAATATCCTTGAAGCGGATGGAAAAAAATCGCTATCTACCAAATTTCAGAGTCCTAATGCCATTTATAGCGGAGATACAAGCGATTTTATGGTTGGGTGACCACATACAAACGCTTGTAAATTTGATCTTGTTCATAACGAAAGGWAGGCCAAATTTACAAGCGTTTGTGTGTGGTCACTCAACCATAAAATCGCTTGTATCTCGGCTATAAATGGCACTAAGACACTTATGTTTAGCAAGGATGCATTATAAATGATGCACTTTCGGAATATGGAGGGCAAATTTAAAAACTCAAAAATTTTTGTTTTGTGACATCATCACTTATGAGTACTCTATTGAATAATTGATTGATTATATATATAGATTGACACTTAAAAATATTAAAATAGAAAAAAATAACAATAATGAACTAATACAATATGTTTATTTGCATTTATTATGAAAAATTGTTTAGGTGTCAAAACGACTACTCAATATCACAGCTCAATGAAGATTTTTTTTATAATTTTCAAGCAGAATTTCAGCTGGTTGTAGCTCATACACCATTCCTGAGGTTTTTGCTGTTTATCACATCTGTGAAATGATARTGCGRTTAATCAGTTTCATTGTAAGAGAAACATTTCAGTACAATGTAGGACTCTCAACCTCAGGCAGTTTCATATCTTGAGATCAATAAATCCACCATTTTTCTTTAGGATGGCAAACTCTCATAGTTTGATTAATTTTGATTCTTTTAATTCATTTAGGGATGATSAATATCATGATATCATGAGTAGACTTCGCTGGGTTCATTTAGGATATCAATTTGATTACAATGTGGTCGATTATAAACCAAACCACTACTTTGGATTCCCTAAAGACCTCTCAGGCTTGATGAATCATATTGCACAGGCGATAGGATATCCAGGTTATACCCCTGAGGCTGGAATTGTAAATTACTACCCACTTGGAACATCAATGGGTGGCCATACTGACCACTATGAGCTTGACCTGTCATGGCCATTAATTTCAATCAGTTTTGGACAATCTGCTGTGTTTTTGATTGGTGGCAAAACAAAAGATATCAAACCTACAGGTAAATCTAGGAAACAAAAAAGAATTGGAAACTAGTTTGAAGAGAGGGGACTGGGCTAGTTGTTAAAGTAAATGAAATACTGCAGTTGAACTTCTGCACTTGTAATTTGTAATTTTAATGGTTTAAATTTCAATACTAGCATTTGGCTGCGAACAAGACTGGTTTGGTGGATGGGAGTGGTGAAACGAACATTCTAATGAATTGAGCTGTTGATTGAATTGATTTTTGTCAGGCTTTTGTAGCTTTGTCTGATTTAAAAAAATGATTTTTTTAATAGAAAATGTATTTTTACTAGCAATTTATTGCTATCTAGAGATGCTTAAAACTTAACTCTCATATATTTTGATCACAATCGAGAGAAATAATAGATAAAACCAATAAAACACAATGTTTTGTAATAAGTTARTCTTTTATATATTTCGATTCTTGTTCACACGTATGCAAATTTAATCTAATTTAATTAACTATATGTACACATAACGTTGTTATTTCTATAACTCCACTTAACTATTATGAATGTTTTGTTTGTTTGTACTATATTGTATTTCTGTGTTTTTGATGCGTTAATAGTTTAATATTTTGTTTTCGTAGCTTTATACATTCACAGTGGGGATATAGTGATAATGTCAGGGGAATCAAGACTTGCATTTCATGCAGTACCAAGAATTATAAAAACAGGCGAGGAAAATGAACCGCCAGACGTTCTTCGCTGGACCAAACAAACCACCAATCCAGTCAGTGATTCTGGATGCTGTACTGAATGGAATTTCAAAGGACGTCAAGCGGATTTGAGTGAAGAAGACTGGATACCGTTTGCGTCCTATCTTGCAGAAACAAGAATAAATGTTAATGTTCGRCAGGTGCATTCACTGGGGAGTACTGTAGTATAGAACTAAGTCATGCAAATGAATCTTTACCACTATGTAGAAAGCTTTTTATTTTCTAATTAAGAAATTCAAAACGGCTTTCCTTTTTTTCTCAGAAATAAACACCGTATGAGATACATAGAAAAAAAGCACGAAACACAATAACATGTACGGTCTTTTGGAAAACTTTGTCGATCATTTATAGTCCAAAATGCGCAACTATTACCGAAGCAAAGTTTTTGTATTGCAAATTGTAACTTTGGAATATATATCCACATTACAAACAGCGGCAGTCTTTTGTTTTAAGACAGTATTCAAGAAAAATCGACAGTTAGGCCGATAACGCTTTTGGGAACAAGCTGTTTTATGTATTTACACATGACATTGATCAAAGAACTAGATCTTATGCTTTTTATGAATTCTTATCTTATATTTYATAATATATTTTTATATGTTAAGTGAAAGATTAATTCTTAATGTTATAGTGTTATGAGGTCCTTTAGTATGCATACGATTATCAGTATGCTGCCAGAGCAACGACACTCCAATTCACCCCCGCGTCTGTCATTCATTATCGTCTTTACGTAAAAGCAATTCCATCTGCAGTCATACTGGGAATTTGGATCAATATTAACCACCACGAGCAACAGCTATATAACCAAAAATTGTCATGTGGACGAAGACGGTGTTCTCAATCTGAAAGGGAAATAGAACTGGTACTAGTACTGTAACAATGGCTAATTGCAGCAGGCTATCGCTCTTCATCAAGCGWCTTTTTCTGTACATAATATACACATTTCTAGGGACGGCAACGTTCTTTTTCATAGAAAAGGAGAACTCCGATAGAATTCGGAAAGAGAAAGAGATCCTTCGATCAAATCTTTCAAACAAATTGAAGCAGCAATTTAACATTTCGCAAAAAGAATTTCAAAGTTTGATGAGCGAGTTTAAAGCAGCTATTCAGKATGATTCAGAGYTGGAATGGACAGTGATGAATTCTCATTAYTTTGTGATGCAGCTACTGACTACTATTGGTATGTTTTTTAAGTTATATTTACCCTGTTTTCAGTAAAAAACCCCAGCTATTTTGGATTTTTAAAGTCATTTATTTTTGAGGAAAAAAGTGGAAGTGAAATCGATCATGGCATGGGTATAGCGTTGAACTTGGTGAATTGCCAGCTGCTTGAGTTGAATTAATCACCAATTCTCATCCTACGCATGGAATTGCAATGAATATTCGGGCATAATTTACTTTGTATTAACTACATATATTATTATCCTACTTAAAGCCCTATTCATATTTTAATCTTTAACTTAATCTACACTGTTCATTAGCCATCAATTCCTCAAGAAATACTTCCGTTATTGTGACACGATTTAACTAGAAATCTGTAGTTGCTGTTTTTGGCAGCTATTTTAATTCTACCTCATATAATATTAAAATTAAAAAAAAAACATTTGCGAAATGAAAACCTGTCTTTCAAGTGTCTTCTTGGCCGTAATTGCCGTTATCAATATTCATTTTTTACCAATGTAATTCCTTCCTTTTCTTCTTCCTTTTCTTAGTGCTTTCATTRTCTCCACTTTTCTTTAATTTTCCTTTTTTTCTTTTATTTCATCTTTTCCTACTGATTTCTTCTTCTTTTCCAGGCTATGGTAATATTACTCCAAAGACTGCAACTGGACGTGTATGGTGTATTCCTTATGCTTTAATAGGAATCCCATTAACAGCTTTGTTTCTCCAAACTGTTGGTACAACATTCTCTTCACTAGAAAAAAGGTTTATCGTTGCTTTTGAATGTAAAGTTCTCAAGCGATCTCCCCCAATAAAAAGCTTGTCACGTAAATCTTTGGCATTGACGAYTSTCTCTGTTGTTTTGATCTTGGTTTATGGCGCTCTCCTCTACACTTTTTACGAGGAAAAAGGCCCACTGACTGATGGCTTTTATGCGTGGACAATAACATTAACAACTGTTGGGTTTGGTGACAAATTGGCTGCAAGTCCCAAGCCAGATAAATTTCCTCATCYAATGGAGATATTCCAGCTKATGATGGCGTTCCTGGGATTGTGTGTTGTGACTGTGGGCATCAATAATGCTTCGGATTGCATCMGAGAGRCAGCAATYAAAATGGACAACTTTGAGCGAGATTTTTGTTGTCTTTGTTGTAAAAATTCAAAAGTAAGAACGAATGATTGTGTTCATGACACTCAAGAAACAATAGACGAAGAGCTGTGAGTTTATGTTATATTGTTTCATTGTTTTCTGCAAATAACAAATACAGACATGTAAATAATATTAAAAGTGAAAGCTAAGTGTCCATATGTTCGTCTCATTTGTCCCAAAATCCCTTGTCRTTTTTATATTTTTCTCAACGGATTTTACAACTGGGKAAAAACGCGTTTTCGACGGTCGATTGGGACGATTGCATGGAAACTACGCGTAAAGAGAAAAGCTCTCCGGTTGAGGYAAAGTATCGTAATTTGTTGTTCCCACTGGTATCAGACATAAAAAAGATATTTCTCGCGCGGCTGGTTGCCAGGAAACCTCATGTACGGAATGATTCCCAACTRATAATAATATATTCACAAAATGATATATTAGTTAGACAGAAATGAATAAATAATACTGCAAAGATGTTCAAACAGTATCAACATTGTGGCAGCTTATGGTAAACATTACGACCGTCAGAGTGTGTGCMTTCATTCTCTTGTTGGTTTCTGGTTTCTTTAAAAACAATTCACATTTAACCTGAAGATATGAATATGAGGACCGCATGGGATTCGAACCCAGTGAGGTCGGAAATAAATTTTTCCGAATTTATTCCTAAGGGTCTTTCTCCTGGAATTGCCTCCTTCTAAGCACTATAACTTGTGTGCGCTCATCTGTTTTACAAGTGCTCCAGCAACACCTCAAAACCATCTCAACTTCGCCCTCCGATCCGACTTTGTTTACATTTTTTGTGGGACAACATGGCTGMCATTACGTGTCCTGTATTCTGATTGGCCAATCCCGGCCAAGGGCTTAGAAAAATGGGGGGTGAAAATTCACCCTTTTCACCTCCCCTGGATCCGCGCCTGTGATTCCTGATATCATAGATTAAAGTTTAATTAACAAGTCAAGTCATTTGCTTTCTAAATTTTTTTAGTGATTTCAATATCCAAAGTTTTCCTTTTTTTCCTTTTATCACTTATTTTCCTCAGTACTGATTTCTTCTTCTTTTCCAGGCTATGGTAATATTACTYCCCAAAGCTTGTAACTGGACGTGCATTGTGTATCCCTTATGCTYTAATAGGAATTCCATTAACAGCTTGTTTCTCCAAACAGTTGGCCSTAAAACATTGTCTTCGGCTCTAGAAAAAAGGCTATCGTTTTCGACGGTCGATTGGGACGATTGCTTGGAAACTAGTAGCTCATTTAGGCAWAAAGCCAGCTTGGGAAACACCGACTGAGGCAAAGTATCGTAATTTGCTGTACCCTCTGGTATCATACATAGAAAAGCAATTTCTCGGCTGGTTGCCAGGAAACCTCATGTACGGAATGATTCCCTACTGRTAATAATATATTCACAAAATGATATATTAGTTAGACTGAAATGAATAAGTAATGACATTTCATTCTCATTTAGTTCATTTTCATTTAGTTTCTGGTTTCTAGTTAAAAACAATTTAGCCTTCATATTTTTTCCTGTGGTGGTTATTAAAGCTTGTTCTGAGTTTTTCGTTCTTAGTTTTTCGTTTGCTTCACATTGAATCTTACGTCGTAGAGTCGTTCCACCTTACCCATGAAATAATTAGTAGACTATTTTGTTTTCCTTTGATTTTTTGGAGGATTATTCACCAACAATAGTTTTAGTGTTTGGCAAATAAAATACAATGACTAATATCAGTGATACTGATAAACTGGGCCTAATATTTTATATAGTCCAAGGACTGCTTGATTGSTCAGGATTGCTCAACAATCAATTTKTATTGCAATGGCAAACAATACCATTAAGACCATCACTTATTCTGGTATCTATGCCTTGTGGATTTATGAGATGTGTAATATTGTTTTACTAAACACTATTGATCATGCTCTACTAAATATCTCTGTGAATGCTTTTAAACTCTCCTTAATCAATTATTTACCTAAATAACATAGACTTCACAAGAATATAATTCGTGAGTTATGTAGCTCAATGTTATTCAGGCTAGAATCTTTTTACTAGGCAAACCGCTAAATGTGTACAGAACTCGGTATAGTTGCAGGGTTTTCTGAGTTTGAAAAATCTTTCTCAAGTGTAGAAAATAACAAGAGTTCCTATCACAATAATAAATAAACATGAAGACAAAAACAATGAGCGTCTGTGTTTACGGAGCCATGATGAAGAGGCTTTGAGTAGAAAATTTTACGTAAAATGCAATAACTTCAGATTAAAAACGTCAAGGTGCGACCTGTGTTCAGCTAAGTATCTGCGACTCTGCCTGCCTGCATTTCTTTCTTGTGTTTTAGTTTCATCTCACTCATTTGAAATYCGGACAGTGATCGAACGTTTCTCTGCAGTCATCCGATCTTGATATGGTGTCCGGCGACATATTGTGTCTATTGCGCGTTAAATGTAACTGTAGTTTTCACGCAGATCATACCATTGAAGAACATCTTATTTTTTTACAACTTCTGCCAATCGAATTCTATTTCTCATTGATGCTTATATTTCTTTAATTATATTCGCACTGATAGACACCAAACAGATGGATCCCTGCATTGTTATTTTCATGATACAGAAGACATTGTGAAAAAACTCATAAGTGCTTCGACTGCTAAATGAAAGATATTAAATCCATTTTATAAAAATGTGTAAAACTTCACTGTCACTTCTATCAATTTGCTGTAATTTCTTCAACTTTGCTTTCTTCGGTAGCTGCAGTAACGGTCTTTTTGCATGGCAGTCTTCTTAACCAATAAGCTAGTATCGAACATTCTAAGGCGCAGTTAATTGTGGTTGAAACCACACAAAGTCCCAATATGCCGAAAAKACTCATTAAAATTCGCGTTGYCGGACTCTTTAAATCGAATCCTGGTATCAAATCGCCAAAACCAACGGTTGTGAAGGTAATGACATAGCAGTAAACACCGTCAAGAAACGACCAATCTTCAGAATACATCTGAATAACAGCTCCAATAACCACAAACACAACGAGGTCGATAACACAAAATGCGAAGTTTATCCCGTCGAGATTTTTCGGCTCACTTCTTTTGAAAACTTTCATCTCAATCTTGGAGATAGCAAACTTTTGTAAGTTCATCATGTGTTCGCCAACCTTTTGAAGGAAGACAATGTTGACTGGTATACCGATTATAGAGAAGAAGATACAGAATATTTTGCCTGAATTTGTCTTTGGTGGAACATTTCCATACCCTGTATGTAAATAAATAAATAAATAAAATTGGGTTACTGCTGCTCGAGYAAACCTGTGTAAATACTTTTTATCTTTCTTAAATATCAATAAATAACAAGAATACGCAATTTCTATGCAAAGGTAAATATATTATCGCTAAGGAGTTTGACTCATATCTACTCACCAATGGTTGTAACGATTTGAAGAGTCAAGGAAAAATTGTTTTCGTAGCCATTCTCCTCGATTGCTGTGAACACAAGAGTTCCTGTGACAATAACAATGGCTAAGACGGCAAAAGCAACAAACGTTTGTTTATAAGAAGCCATGCGAACGTTCTGAGCTTCTGTTGTGATAACCAATTTTGTTTGAATTACCAGAATGCAATATACTCAGATTCCTGGTTGTCATGGTAGCGAAATGTGTAAATGAGTCACTCGATGTTTCAACGAAAATGATTAAAAATGACTTGTTGCAACTCATAATATAAAGACCCTTAAAACGTACAAAACAAATCCCAAAAATACTATCTAAGTAAAAAAAAAAACTATAGATGTCGATTCACATAAACGTTCTATTTCGAGCACCGGCTTTGGTTTCTTGTCACACTTAGCGTTCTAAATGAGCGGGAGTTTTAAAAGACATGGTAGCGAAATGTGTAGTCTCATGTGTAAATGAGTATCTGTCAGAAGTACATAACTTCTGGTATCTGTCCCTCATGTTTTTTTTAAAGTATAATTGAATATATTATGTTTCAAAATGAAAAGARTAAATGACTCGTTGCAATTCATATTTTAAAGTAACAGATTCTGAGATTCTGACATTTGAATCGCGAGAAAAGRCAACTACTGATTGAACAATAACAATCAAACGTCAACACGAGGAAGACAGCATCGGCAGTAGCAGTTTGGAGTGCGTATCCGGTTGCTATTCGTGTAATATGGATTCTTTTTTGAAAAAATTATACCAAAACATATGTCAAGATGAACCATCTGCTGTTTTATGCATTTTTTTTTTAAATATGTATTTTTAAAATATGTCCTCTTAAGTTTGTCGGTTTGGACTTTTTGTGTTCCCTACGGAAGTCTAAATTCTCCGATTTCTATTTGACTTGAAGGGTATTTTGATTTGCGTCTACATAGATTTTCACTTGTACTACGTAACTTGTACCAAACTCTGTGCTACTCCCGGAGTCCCCGTTCCCTGGATATTATATTTATTATGTTATGATTGGGATACCTGTGGTCGAGGCCGGGCAAAGAAGGCATACAATCCAACATAGCAATTTATTCAAGATGTCTGATTGCAGTTGGAAGAAATCGTTGGTTCTGTCGTTTGTAGTTCTAGTTGGGATGGTGATCGGGATGTGTATTATCAAAGCATGTGAAGACAAACAAATTGCTAGCGATGGCYACCATCTATCTTATCTCGATACCTTCTGCATGTGCTTTCAGACTGTCACAACAATCGGTATGGTATTRAGATCATCAGTTTCTACGTTATAATTCTGCAGTTTTGGTTATCGATATTTTTGGATCTTGAGATCGTTCAACGTCAGTATTGATATGTTACAAGAAAGCGATTAAATGTGCTTTAGTGGTATTAGAAAAGGTTGACATATCGAGCTGAACGACCATTTTACAATGTTTACTTTGATTGACATATCTCGTTGATTTAACATACAGTAATTTGCAAAGTTTCTGACCGCTAATGTATGAGTCAATTCCAAAGGTGCCCATCCCCCCCGGGCAAACCCCGGGAATTTGACTCGACTTTACCTCCGTACAGTGGGGAATTTGACTCATTTAGGAGCAGACGGGCGGGCATTTGACGAGTAGGCGRCCATCTTGGAAATTATCGATTCAGATGCGAAACCGCTATTTCGTGACACAATACGAACTTTTAAGCTTAAGTTAAAAATAAAAATATCTCGGGAACCTAAGCATTTTAATAATAATACGTATTATTTATATAGCGCCGATATCCTTACAGTCTAAAGGCGCTTCACATGATCACGGATCGCTAGCAGCCTCGAGGCTTACAATCATTTTTGGGAACATTCTCGATCTTTTGTACATTCACGATGAGAAATCACGATACAAAAAGCAACAAAAACACTCGAAAACTAGCGTAAAAAAACTGACTTATGGGGCGGGCATTTGACAACTCATTTGCTTTTACTAGTGGGCATTGGGGGGGGATTGGGCACCTTTGGAATTGACTCATACATAATATATATCATTTTATCGGTTGCATCATGGGTAGTATTCAAACCTGCGTTTATTCTTTCATTAAGAACAAAATGTTCGCTTACTTAAACTAGGGAATGGACTAAAGTGGACTGGACTTGGAAAACCCAGACTCAGTATAGTAGCATAACATAATTTTAAGTGCTTAAAATTAGTAGCCCGTAGGTATTATGGGCTTCGTTGCGAAGTGTTCCCGTTAAAAAAAAAAAGATAAAAAATGAGCGAAACATCGCAAGCCAATAATACTCAAAGCAGTTATAAAGGGTTAATACTTAGCCTACTGTGTTATTCGGTCATATCCAAGTAGTCCTAGTTCCTTTGTATTGTGGATAATCATTTAGTTGAATATGTTCTTTCTCTGCAGGTTATGGAGATCATACCCCTCAATCTCACGCAGCCAGGGGATTTCTTGTTATATTCGCTCTTGTTTTTATTCCYATAAATTTTTGGCTTCTTAAGCGGTTAGGCGAACACATTCTGAACATCCAGAAGACTGGAATAACGAAACTGGAATCTAAACTCTTTCACAATAATGAACCACGATTTCTTGGTGAAAAGTGCGCGGCAATTGGAATTGTTCTCGCGCTGACCATAGTGTTCGTGGGCGCAGCCATCCAACAACAAGATGACAAAGATTGGGAATTTCTTGACGGTGTCTACAGCTTTATTATAACCTTGACTACAGTTGGGTTTGGTGATSTGATTCCCTTCTACGGATCGTCTCCACCGCTGAAGATATTCATGCTSCTTTACATGTATTTTGGATTGTGTCTCATGTCGAACATCGTWCAAGSTTTTATGGAAGTAAAAGAGTCCATTACCGCCATTGAAAGGTGTTTTCCATGCACTCGTTACCAGGGATCGCGGTTGGAAGATGATGTCGATATTGTGAGACATTCGGACCTGCGCAACTCAGAGGAGATATAATCATGAAAACTATTTATAACTGAATGACATACGACATTTAACAAGCATTGTATTTATTCAAATATATCTCCTATTTACTTCATCCTACATCWCCATCGAGTAAATGTCAGTTCTGCAATGGATGGTTCTGTAGATTGCCGACCGATTGACGTCATTACCGTATTTTTCTTTTGTCTTGCAAAAGATTGTCGCTAACCGCCTACGAACCATACCGCCTGACGACAAAACCACTTAAACATGATAAGAACGGAGAAGGACAACCATTTCAAATCCCTAATGAATTGCCAAACAAGAACTAATAGAAAATGAGGAACAAGATATGAATTGATTCTTTGCAGCTATTGGCAAACAGGTATTCATTAGGATATGCGGTTAAGATGATTTGTGGCATCACCCCTCAAAGCAATCATCGGCGTTATGACGTCATAAGTCTCTTTGACTAAAATAACATCACAAGGAACAAACCATCAAACGAATTGTTTATTTCTATCGCAACAAACTTGAACAATCGGCTGCGGAAGAATTCGATTATGACAGTAATGCAGTACCAATTGAGACCTGCTTTTTGATTGCTCCTTAAGTACAGCACCACTATTGTTAGGTTAGGTTTTGTTATATTCTTGGAAGACTTATCTATTGTTTGTCCATTGTTTTCTCAACCTATCATGAGACCCGTTCCGAGCGGTGCTACCCGATTATGACGCCATTATCACTACGTCAGTCTGGCCGCACCCACCGCAGAACAGTTATCAATTAAAGTCTATTCTTTTTTGGTCCATAAAACAAATAGGTTTTAAGATAACGGTTGGTGGGCACTATTTTAACAGTTTTTATTTTTAATAAGTTAAACAAAGCTTGCTTCAATTATCTAACTGTTTTCAACATGTCGAAACTCGAGCTAATTCAACTGGAAATCCATTTTTTTTACTGGGAGGATTATAATAATACAAAGCAACCATAAATTATTTTAACCATAAAACGGCCGATTCTTTGATGATCATTTTTTATTCCTTGGAAGTCGGGCAGTTAGTTAAATTCCCTTTGAGGTAATATTAAATTTTTATTACCATTGTTTTGTGGGATAGTGTATTCGGATTTTAGAACCAAAACAAACCACCACCAGCATAGTTCCGTTATCCTTKGAATTCCTTGGCTATAACTATTAACATTGAAGTCTGATATAAACCATCGAGCTTTTATCTTATTATATAAAAACAAACCGAGTTAGATTTGAACATAATGACCAGCTGTTATTGACGGTGGTTCTTTTTGTGACTTCTTATTGGTTCACGCTTTATTAGATTACAATTTACCAACAAATAGTTACCAGAAACATAGCAATTTCTACAGAGATATGTATCTTGAAGAAATTGGACGATTTTAAAAGCTTAAGAGCATGATAAGGTCAGTATATTCAAAACTGTTTCGATATTGACACAACATTTTGTTTCCCTGTTTACTCAGTTATGGATGGTTTTTTTTAAAGAAGCACAAAGAGGTTCTTTTATATTTTGAATGCTCTGCCTTAAATGTAGTGTTATGGTTTGTCAGAAAGATATTGTGATTTGATACAGTATTATCAGTAAAACATCGCTGGTAAACAACAAGATGCTATAAACGGGCTCAACAACGAAATAAAATGAACTAAAACTGCCCAGGGTAGCATAATGAATAGGCTGTAATATTTATGGCTGTGAATCCAGTAYGCGACATGTAACGATGCACTTATCTCAGTAAGGTAGGAAATGAACATGGATTTTTGTCTTCTGCGGYTTGATCAGTTTGCGGTCCTCTATTTTTCGCGGCCCTGCAGGATAGATCCGCCAAATTTGAAATCTTGCGTCCTGATCTCTTCATTAAAGAATAGATGWATCGAATAAAGAATAAATCTTCTCTTATTTCCTTTTCTTTCTTGTCTATTTGTGTGTGTTTTGATTGAATGCAAACTATTTTCGTCGGTGATCAATTCCCAMAGTACCTTTCGGCMGTGCGGCGTTCTTTAATTTTCCCATCAACCTTATTTGAAGAGCTGTATAAAGTATACAACCAGAAATCTTAGCAACCGTATTCAACTCAATACTCGCATTTTATGACTTGGTTATCAATTATACGTTTTGACTGCATGGACTTGATGATGACCTGAATCGAAAAAAAATATCGTACCTGATATTAGTCTATATAGATTTTTCTATAACGAAAACTTTCACCAAAGCCATTAGGATGTTTTATTATTAAACGACTTTTTAAGACAGTTTTGAAGTGAAAAAAAAGTAAAGAAAAAAATAATAAATTCCCGTCTGTCGAGTGGTAAAAATCTCCAACAGAGAACACTACTCAGCCGCCAACTTATTCATCTTTCTCTTGGCATTTGAAAAGCTATTGTTTTTAAGTTATATTAAATTCTATACAACCTTTCCTTTTCTCTTTTGAGAACATTCATCAAAAAGCGAAAACAAGCTCATTTACTTGATTCCTATTATGTCTCGAAACGAAAAGGTGCAAATGTTATTATGAAATAATCTGAATGAGCGAATTGTCAGTTGTTAGCTATCGATATAGTATTGAATGGTTTACTGAGATTGACTTCCTTTGATTATCGCTCTAGAATAATCTTTTAAAAAAAACTTTCATCTGACCCGACGGGGCACACTCCAAGGTATTTACAACAGATCTCTTAATCTTGTGTTTTGATGCAAATGCAAAGCTATACAGCCTGACAGCAGTTTTGTTCTTTCTAGCAACAAGGACTATCTTCAATGTTTACCAGGTAAACTACTACCAAGAATATGAAGGCAAGTTAGTAATTTAAGATTATAAACTGTCAAAATCAATTCACTGAATTAAATCTTTGCAAGTTTGATTAAAATTACACAGGTCTTATGATGTGGGACAATCATCTAGTCATGGAACAAACATGAAAAAACAGAACAATGTTTCCATAATTACATGACTGAAATCACAACTTCAGAAGGACAAAACCTAGAATATTTTACACTAAAAAATCTTGTGTTTTGGGAAAATCCGCTTGTTTACTTCAGTGACTTTGGATTCCATTTATTGTAGGATGCCAAACGAAAGGATGAAAGGAAAAAGAAGAGTATATCGTGTAAGTCAATTAGTTTTATTATCTGATTGACGATACAATCGAAGTTTTGTATGAGAATGTTCAAAATTTCCTTCCAAATTCATAATATTTTGTACATTTTAACTAAGTTTGTTAAAATAATGCAAATGTGGTCGGAACACACCTGGACTTTTGGAACTGTTTATAAAAAGTTTCTCACGACCATCTAGTTCCAATTTCTAAGCCGATGGACTGATGTACTTAAGGTATTAACTTCTCATTAAGTACATTGATAGATTTCAGACTTTGTATTCATTAAAAGAATTAGAGCGGATTATATTAAAAAGATATTTCTATGGAGAAAATTTCAAGATGAGATTCTGGCTGCAATTCTCAATAGTATTAATAATTTAAGGCAACTATATACCGTAACGAATCTATAATAACTAAAAGACCTCGTTCTTAACGAGAAGATGACAGGCATATCTGAAATGCATTCATTCACTTATCCATCCTTTTCTCATCCATCTATTCATGCATTTAATCGAAGCAATCCCTGAAAAAAAGAGAACTTGGTTATTCATCAAGGACAAAATGTTGAAATTACGACATGATAAACGCTATGGATCGTAGTAAAGCTGATATGATTTATGGATTGCTTAAAAATGATTTGCCGGGGTAAGTGATAGCTCCTGGGCATAATAAGTACATTACATTTTAAAAGCTCCGTGGTCCTTTTTGCACTCTCTTCAATATGTTGGCCATAGGGGAATATTTGAGAATGTTATCATATCTGAATATCTTTGATTTTTTGAAAAATATCTCAAAATATCTTTATTTATACAAATAAATAAATAGATAAAAATTGGAAAATACCAGTTAATAGCAAACTAATCCATCACGGCAGGCAGACGCTCAAAGGAACTTTTGGCAAAGAAAAAAAAARCTACTGAAAATAGCACATATCTAGTAGAATTAGTTTAGAAGATTTATGTACGAGAAGGAAGGAAAAGGGCCGGGTTTACAACACTTTTTCTGTTTTAACTAAACACCTTTATTATAACTATCAACAGACATTTGGTTCCGTTTCGTCCGCAATCTTTGATTTAACCTAAATAAAGTACAGAACGCAAAACGCGTCGAATATGATTGGACAATATTCAGAATAGTTTATTGTCACAGGCGCTAAATATTATGGACTAGTAAAACAGACTCAGACGTTAATGATTGGTTGAAAACATTATCTACTTTTCAMCACAGGGAGCCCATTATGCTGTAAGTGTCTATACCTATCTTTGTTTTGACAGTCCCGATCCGTGCAGATCTGACAATGGTTAAATATTTAATCACAAAAAGGTTGATAATAAGTAGAGAAAGGTGAACTAGTGTTTCATTGTTTAATTTTTGAGTTTGAAGTAGAAGGATCCGCCATTTTGATTGCGATGGTCTGCGGTCCTTTCTCAGTGCGAGTTTTGGCAGCGAGTTAGAGATTGAGTACGAGTATCTGAGTACGAGTTTTAAAATCGTCACGTTGTTGTTGTTGTTGTTGTTGTTGTTTGTCAATTCTGACCTACATTTAACTTGTAAGTCACTAATTTCGTATTTGATTCATCGTCACCATAAATTCGAAATAGTATTCGGTGCTCTAATGTCGTCTAATGTCGGTAGTGCATGTTCTGAAAGGAAGACACGTCCTAATATTTCATGTACAATTTTGTCAATACAATATATTTGATGTTTTCAAAAGTATTTGTTGCTTTTATTTTCTTTAGATATTTTATATTTGTTCTAGATATAAAGCATTCTGCCCCCACAAAAAGGAAAAAAAAATCAGATCGGATTTTCTTCAAAAGGAGCGGTTGATAATTGATCAAGTGCTTTCTGTTTAGCTTTCATCGTATCTAAGTTTAAGGATTTTATTTTTATTTGTATTTCAGATTTAAAAAACTGACATTCTTTTCGCGGGTCACTCGAGTATTCAACTCCAAATTTGAATATATATATAAAATCAAGTCCACCGGTGGACACCAAATGAGTTGATACTGAAGACTTTCTAAAAAAACCCTATTAATTAGAATGACCTTTTTTTCATTTGACTCTAATATCATGAATGGTGCAGCAACCGGTACCTGTTGTTGCGTTTTAAGCAGGCGCAAATCCATATTTTTGGTTAAAACGCGCTAGTTTCCACCTTAAGAAGACCTCCTGGTCCTTYTGCCGTAAAAACATGTTTAAGGTACGTTCCGAACGCTGCAAAAGAAATCTTCTTAACCCTTAAACTTATATGTCCTACGCCGTTTTTAATTATCATTTATAACATTGGTTCTGTCACTAAAAGAGTTATTTACTGAGGTAATTATGTAGTGCGGTACTATTGTTTATAAATACATTTGCGATATTGTAAGTTATTTTCACGAGCTTTTGTGTGTAATTTTCATGTTTTGAGACGGAGAAGCGTTGTTTTTATTGCTTTCATTTACAACCACAATAACATTGCTGAAATGAAGACAAAGACTCAGCCATAGCCTGCGCTTCAAGGACTATTTATGAGTGTTTTTTATTGATAATGACATGGATTCTCACCTGGGCATCTGGTTCTTAGGAAAACGTCTGAATTATTTAACGTTTCTAAAAATGCAAATGCGAAAAGCGAGCACAAGATAAGTGACTCTGATAGGTAGTCTCACGATGTAGCAAGAGCTACCACTGTAAACCACAATTGTACTTGTTCTAAACACGTATCTTTTAAAAGATCACGCTTCAAAACGGGCTTGTAAAGCGAGAAAATATCAAGTGCTCGTCTGACCAGCAATTAAGACTGCCTTCAAGTCCTGCGGTGCCGACTGCAGTTCATCTTAAAGTACATTGGATTTCAGTGCTTATCTTAGGCACCTGCAATCTCTAGGGGGAAATAGGATTAGGGTAGTTGACCGCCAAAAACATTTTGATATATACCACTGGCTCACCACATCATGTCCAAGTGGAAGCAATTGTCGACCCTCGTGCGAAACAAAGAGTTCTTTGAGCGAGTAAGTAGCTTTAACTCTAGAATCAAACTTCCAGACAATGCAAAGGTGTTTAGATACTTTGCTAGTGGGGAAAGATTACCGCTAAGCACAGTGTTTATGTTTCAAAGCTTCCGTTAATCTTGCAAGGCAAATATCCTACTCTAAATGCTTTGGTAAACAAGCTAAGATATTTAGCAGCCATGCAGTAGAAACGAAGCTAGTAAATCAAAAACTTTGAGTATATCACTAATTATRAAGGAGAAATCCATCGATTGAGAAACATTGTCTCTGCATGATGCCGTCAATGTGAATGTATGGGATTGTTAGTTTCTGATGGAATATATATTGCACTTAAKTGTAAATCAAATAGTCACTTATGAATCTTAATGAAGAAACTTGTTCGAAATTGACATTTATTGCTTAAAACTCCTTTTCTGAATATGGTATTTTTTATCTGAAGTTTATCGGACATTTAATCAAAAGTAGAGAAAAATCAAAGAAAAATCATTGAAGAATAGTTTTGGCTTGTTGGATGGGTGCACAATTAAATCTCTTTCTTCTACGAATGAATTTCGTATGTGAGCTACTAGAAAGAGGAAAAGAGCTAATTTATCTATTTTCGACGTATGAATGTTATGCAAATATGACAAGCGACTATGTCAATTAAGAAGACCAAAAAGTCTATCTAGAAAATGATAACACTTATCGTCCTTTTAGTAGTTTACTGCGCAAAACATAAAGATATTGGTACGTTTTTGGGCAAAGTGGATCAATAAACCTATGTTGTTTTTATATTTGACCCAAGGGAAGACTCTTCCTAAAMGTTTTCTGTCATCTTTATACAAGTTTATTGAGTGCCGCCTTTTTGTATTCTACACACCTGGCGTTTTAGTTATAATTTCTGACGTCTAGATATCACTGAYCTAGAAGCGTCCGTGCTTGTATACAGCATTGGCAAAGCATATGACAATTCTTCTTGCGATATTGATGTCCTCGTCCAATCACATGTATTCACAAAATATTCTTTCAAGAACATTCCGCGAGGCCGGATGGTTTAGGCTGCGTGTATAAATATACACGAAATGTAAACAAATTACAAAATATTAAAAAAACATAGTTGTATGACGCTCTCTCTTTATGCAAAAAATGTTCAAAACTTTAAAAACAAAATAAAATGTTCAAAGTTGACACACGAACGCAGAAGTCTGCAATCCAAACCAATTTACGTGAGGTTGCATGCTTTTCAGTGACAATGAATGATATAGGCAATTGACAAGATGTCCTAGAAGTCACAGAACCCATAGAAGCTAAACTCAAGCAAAAATTCATTGGATTTCAAAAGCTTTTTGATAACTGCTTTCAACCTTGGGATATTATTGTACATCTAGCTTCAGGGTAAAACAGATTACTGCACATAAGTGCTAAAAAACTGTTGTCAATTTCCACTTCAAAAAAGATTGAACCCGTCATCCTATCAATGACGCTTCAAAAGGAACACAAACGACTGATATGGATTTGATATTGATGAAGTTTATTCACTTTTTCATATTACAAATTAGGTTGCTAATGCAGCTTACTGCCAGTCCTGTTATGGTTGTCTTTTTATGAGCGATACTTTCAGCTTTTTSGTACAAACAATCTGGCTGCTTCCCTTGAAGGGCTGCGTTTCCGATCAAAAAAAAACCCAAAAAACAAAAAAGGAAAGAAAGAAAAGAAAAGGCTTTAGAGATATTAAAAAGCACATATCCCAGTCATTACATGTTTTAAATAATAAATTTATGTTTTAATTTCAATACTGTAAAATTTTGCTAACAATTCCAAAATTGCGCAAAAATGTATTACAATAACCAAAATTACAYTTACAGACCCTGAGGTGCTTGCATGTTAACGCTGAACRATAATTTTTGAGACATCCTCTTTTTAATGAAAGCAATGCTGTACCCCCATGCCAGCTAAGGTACAAAAAAGCACGCCTTATAATTAGGTTRCATGTAAATATCAAGATAAACTCMTTTTCTGATGTCATTTAGGCTTTTGTTCGCAGGAGCTAATTTAACACCTACTAGGTTATTCTTTACTTTWAAACTTTTTAAATTAAAATATTTCACATAATGTCAGAGAAAGTGTCAACTGCTTGTAATTAGATAGTTAACTTTATGATTCCTGTCTGATGCCAATGGAGTCTTGTTCGTTTTTTTCTACTCCCAATATAGCAACTCTWTAGATCTAATTTCCTTATCAAAATTATTTTCCAATGTATTTCTATTGCCCAGGAAAGTCGGCTGTCATGGTTAGTTCTTTGATACAACTGGAGACGACTTCGGGTCTATTATTTTGGGAGTGAGCAATATGTCTTATTTATAATCGTTTCTTGTGTAATCAGCAAAAAGGAAATAACACACATAGTGTATGATTTTCCCCAATCAATTCATCTGACATTTGCTTTTGAAAGACTGTATATGTAGTGAAAGTTTCCGGTCATGCAAAGCTTTTCAAAGACAAACTGAAACCTTTACAATTCACCGATAAGAGACAGAAATGTCTGCCAATCACGAGTATAGCGATAAGGRGAAAAAGGTAAAATCGTTTCCATTCGTGTTTACCATTTCTATTATCTTAATCACTACACATTGAAATTTTCAAGCTTATACTTTTTCATTTATTTTCCCAATTTTGTATTTTCGCTCAGGTAACTTAGTGACTCTTTTGAAAATTTAACTCGCACGGACAACGCCAAGAATTGCAAGAAATATCTCCCTATTTTTGAGCCGTGATATAATTGATTGTGCTGCAATGTATCAAAAAGTATTCACGGATATTTTGCGGTTTTTCTACCGAATAGATTAATTGCGTGAGCTGCTATAGTAAAGCATTTCTCACTCAACTTTTTCACTTTTTAAAAAATCTTATTTCATGTTTAATTCCAAAGTTTATTTTGCTGAGTTCGCGTTATCGCGTTATCGCGTTGGTCGGAATTTTCACCATCCAAGTCACTTTCAGTTTCCATTTTTTTCATTTTTTTACTAAAGTTGATCACTAAAGTTACATGTCAGTAATATGGTCATGGACGACTTCTACAATCAGCATCTACTCGATATTCACTTAAAGTACTATTAAAGCTTTAATTTTCATAAATAAATCCTTGGTCCAAAAGCCTGATGACATCACAACAGACGACATATGTACTGGTTTTGATTTGATCTCTTGTAGTATTATTGTAATAATATGATGATATTTGTATCAAATTGTTTGCAATTCTTTGCTTGRATCCGCGATTCMGATTTGAGCCCTCTCTSTGTGTGTTTCCTATGGATTTCTGCAGGTGAATTTGATTAACATTTCTATTTTAGGTTCCYRCTAGCTATGTTTTCACACCAAACMGAGATGACGTGATAAATTCAAGGTAAAAAACTATTATCACATTGATGTTGACATTWTATATATTGGAATAGTACAATCGTATCTAAATATCAAAAAGAAATCAAAAAATGTTAATGTAACAATTGCAATTTCTTTGGGGAAAATATTTAAAGGTATCGYGATTACTTTTCCCGAAAATATTCTCATTCTAAAAACAATTTTAACCCAACTTCATCCGCCATTTTGATGAGTGTGGTCTGTATGGGAAGAAAATATCATTTATTTTTTTTTAAATGTGTAACCCTTTCATTTTTTGTAGTCAATTAAAAATTATTTCAAAAGGCTTTCAGCTTTATGTGTCAAAATGATAGCATTGTTTTAGTGTAGATAAAAATGTTGCTTTCCAGCAAGCAATCGCAGGAAATTTGAAAAAAATTAGGTGAGCCCTCAGTTTTCCCAGAAGAGATTTGCGCTCAAATATGCCTTTTCAAAATTAGAATTTATACGAAGTTGTTTTGAACTTCAAARGCCAAACTTTCTTACAGCCAGATTTAATCAGGTCACTTGCTTTGAAGAWCTTTTGTTCATGAGTGACGGGTGACGGACTGCCTGTTGTACTGCCAGTTTGATGTATGACCCCATTGATAGAACATCTACGTTATTATGCTTCTCTTAGTTTCTTTTCATACGTCAAGTTATATTTTATTTTTTTCTATTTTGGAAGAAAACGTTCGACTGTTAAAGCATGCAGTTACCGTTACAGAATATCAGAAAACGTTGAATACTGAATTTTGCATTCCAAGACCGCAATGCATTGGCGGTATTGTGCTCCGTGTTAGCCTGCGGCACAAAATGACAATTCTAAGTTTAATTGCTTTCCAATGTTTGACTTTACGGAGGTGGTTCAATCACTTTGAAGTCACAAAAGAAAGACCAACAATGCATTGGAATACACTAAAATATATTCAGAAATCAACTATTTCTGAAATATCTGTATAAACCGCTAAATGTTGTGATCTGTTTAGGCTGAGATTGCGTTACAGTTCAACATGTGACACTTACTATCGTGATTGGCAAGATTCTATCAACCTCGTTTCCAATAATGTGATGCCCGGATGGGAAAAAGGTGTTTTTGCACTCGATTCAGTGTACAGGTAGGTGTTTCCTTGTTGATCACGTAGGGTAGGATATTTTGATTCGGAATTTGCTTCCGTAAACCTTGATCTTATCAAAACTTTACAGTCTACCGCTTCAGGTCATTTATTTGATTGTCTTGGTACGGCTTCTTTGTTTATTTACACAATATACCAATGCTATTAGGAATCTCTCTGGGTGTTCTATCAGTGATTACTCCTAAATGCTTTGCCGGAAGGGGAGCAGTAAAGCCGCCCGCGTCTAATAGTCATTAATAATATTATTTGTAAAAATGCAGGAATGTTGACGAGGAAGCTGGCGAGGTCTATTTTGATCGAACCAAACACAGCACCACCGGTAACTTAAAATGGAAGTTTGACTTTAATAGCTGTGGTTTGTTAGTGAACGAGGTGATTATACGCCTTAACTACCTCGATAGCCATGGAGGGGAAATTACGACGACAATCGTTGGAGATTCTGGAAAGAGGGTTCGTTATTTAAAAGGTATCAAATAAATATTTTCATATATGTTAGTCATTTTCTATTTTCAAGTGACTTAGCTTCTCAATATATGGCTATACGGTCTCAATCTACTTTAGAAAGCTAAGTATGCGTCACATCCGGACGCCATGCCTGGAGGATCCAGTCTTTTTTTAGCCTCTATAAGCATTTTCAGCAAATGTTTTACTACACTACTCTTATGTTTTTATGAAAGCCCTGGAATTTATGACAAATTCAGATGTAACTTTCGCCTCGCTTTCAGCCATAATTCATTCTTGTAGTCCATTACAGAAGTTACGTAAATAGGTATTGATGTCATTTTGTATGAGCAAAGCATGATGGGAGCTGTAAGCACTTTATTTCACCTTAACATTTCCTTAAAATGAATTTTTTATTTTTTATTTATTTTATTTTTTCTTTTGTATAAAAGCCACTAATTCTATTTTTGCAAAGAAAAAGCAAAAGTGGTTTAGGAGCACTTTTTTGAAAAATGCAAGAGCTACTACTACTATGGGGGGAGGGGAGGGRGGCTACTACCATTATGAGTTATTTGCACAAAATGAGGCCGCTGTAATTATCTATTAATTAACATGAAATCCATTAATCCTTTCAGTCTCAGCCTCTAAAAGTGCATTTTTAGCCTTTTGGGTTTCGCAGAGCGCGTTACATAACTCTAMCAAAGAACGTGGGCTCTAAAAATTATAATGAGATGATCGTAAAGCAATTCCATCTTTCTTGTCACATTTCATTATAAGAGAGATACACCGTCCTGGAAACATACGCTGTATTCTCATTTAATATACATACAAGTGCTAATAACTCCCGAAAAACCTAATATTCTTTTAGACAGACACTGTGCATCGTTTCAATTAAACTTTACCCTTTCGGTTGATTAAATTCATCAGTCGTTATAAATGAATGTTTTTGATTGATATTTGTCCAGTTTCACGGCGTCCTCTCACCAAGATATCACATTATCAGATGAATCGAAAGCAAAGTTATTTCCTTGTTTGGTCTGTCGTACGACCATGTGCTAGATATGATCACAAACTCTTTGAAAAATGATTTCAATCAACAGGAGCTTTCTGGGTAAAAAAGAGAGGAGTTTTTTTTTTGCCAAAAGTGAATCGCCAGATTTTTAATTTGCCAAACTGCAAAAAGCAATTGTCTCTATAATTTACGCTCTTTAAAAGGTTGCTTTTGGCTTTTTTGGGCGAAAAAGAAATGGATAGACTAAATGATAATCTGCGCTTGAAGCAAAATGAATTTCTCGCACGTTATCAATAATTTCGGTTCGTCTTTCCTTTCATGTAAAGACAAGCGTCGTCTAAATCTCTGATATTTTGCTCAGTTTCTTCAACAAGTGTGCGTTGATCTTGATAAGGAGTGAAAGCACAAACCACAGCACTGACAGTGGCACTTGCAGATTTACAATCGATAGTTGTTTCATGTTTTTTGTTGACATTTTTCTCAAAAGATATTAATTGTTCTTGCTCATTATGTCAAGTTTCAAGAGTTTTCTTCCTTTTTCTTTGTTTTCAAAGTTCAAATGTTTTTACAAGAGGTGTGCATTAGTGTGTAAATTGAAATTAGGAATTTCGATTCCCTGTCTATTGCGGTTTTCCTTTCAAGATGTTGAAAAAGTAAACGTAAAAGTCTTTCAGTCGAAAGCCAATCAGTCAAGTCCTGATTCATATACTTTTGCAGGCACTAAAAAGAAAATTAAAGGTGGCATTGAATCGCGAGTGATTAGAACTATGTGTAGGTGTATTTAAGAAATATTTAAGTCTTTGTGTGGCACTTACTGCTAATTAACCTGTACTCGTTTAAGGCGAGTAATTATCCCAGTTCTTTTTCAGTCAAGCGATAAGATGGCGCCCAGAAAAACTATTTTAGTTCCAGTGAATTTTATTCCGTCTGACATTTCCCCCCAATGAGTAATGATGATATAAAAGTAATTTTGATGTTTTCATGATCAAAGGGTTGTCATTTAGAAAGAACTGATGCTCGCCTTTAAGAAAACACTCAAAATGTGGTTACGCACTCATCTAATAATGTTTGTTTTAGAGCTGAACCAAAATAATTACCTCGACACATAACAATGGCAGGTGATTTTTGTGTGCAAATGAGTCATGACTTATACGTTTGAATACAGTAAAAGGTGTGCAAACCTTGCCTGCTTGGTCGTATTACAACTCGGATAATCTTGCAAGAGCGCGGTGGTATTATTGGCTCAGATTGTCTACTCTACCCGTGGATAATCCTTTCTAATAACCTGCGGGGAAGGAAATTCATATGCACATTCAATTGCCGTCCTACACCATGTTTTGCTATCTTTTTAATTGAAACTTTTAGCAGCCATTTTGTTCACAAATGCGATTAACACTCGGACGTGAAAGGATGTCGTGAAGAAGTTTGTCTTTTAAGATATGTAATGCTCAGAAAGCCATGTGTTCAAATTGTTGGCATCCGTGATCTCTATTGGGTTTCTGTATCGCATTTCCTTTGAAAAATTTATAAAGACATTTGAGGGTTTGTTTCCTGTCTTGTTTTTCATTCACTCCAAGAAAGAGCAAACAAAAAGCTCAATTTCCAAAACGTCGTCATTCTTGTCTTTTATCTGAACAAGGAGTGTAAGGCGCTCTTTAATTGGTGGGTTATCAATTAGTGTAATGGGGACATCTGTTCTGCTGAGGTATAAACACAACTAACTGTATTTCAAGACCCTTAGAAGTGACTTGAGCGTTGACAACCTTCGCATCGCTGATAATCACCGTCTAGATTTTGTGAAAAAATGGATGAAGATTCATCGTTGAACAAGTACGCTCTCATGCTTTCCAATCGCAGCATGACTGTAGCCATTGCTGAGTCTGCCGTTAGCTCCTCGCTGATTGTTGCAGCCACACTTGGTAACTTTCTTGTTCTATGGATTGTGTATCGCAATCGCAACCTGCGCACCATTCCCAACCAGTTTGTCATATCACTAGCTGTTTCTGATATCCTCATGGCTGGAATATGTGCCCCGCCATGTTTGTCTGTACTCGTTGCTGGCAGAAGAACGTTCAGTAACTTTGTCTGCCAGTTACAAGGATTTGCTATCGCGTGTCTTGCTTGTGTTTCGCTATTGACCATGATGCTTGTGGCTGTGAATAGGTACTTCCTTATCGTTCGTCCACAAAAATATCAACGCATCTTCACTCCTACGAACACAAAGCTGATGATTGTATCGGTCTGGATCCTATCGCTCATGGAACCACTACCATACCTATTATCTGGTCACCACTATGAGTACCATCCAGGAAAAGTTTTCTGCTTYCAGGTTCTTCGCATTAACTTCTACACTCTSCTTGGATATGTTTATGTTGTCGTTCCCCTTGTCATTCTTACAGCTTGTTACTGGAAGGTATTCAGAGTACTTCGACAGCATAAAGTCCGCGTGCGAAAACTAAGAAGTTCTTGCGCTTTTGATTGCACCAGCTCTCGCCAGGTAGTTTCATTTGAAGATATCAACGTGACACGAACTCTGTTCATTACAGTCTGCGGCTTCCTAATTTGCTGGATTCCAATCAGTATCGTGGACTTTATTGGATTTTTTCAAGGTACATGGGCCTTGCCTCGCCAGGTCTATTTAATGTATACGTTCCTGGGTCAACTTAGTACAACATTGAACCCAGTGATTTATGGCGTCATGAATAAGACATTCCGTGAGGAATATAAGAAAATGCTATGTTGTTGCAAAGCAGCTGAGTCTGGGACACCACGCACGTCCAAGTCGGATAACTCTCAGAACTCCCACCCTACCAAAGAGAGTAAATGCTCAATTGTATGACTGAGTCAAATTCATTTGCAATTCATGGCGTTTGACTCACAAACACATAAAACATTTAATTGAAATGATAAGAAGATGATTTCTCCTCCTGTTTAATTTTAATCATTAAAGAAATGTATTTGATTCACAAAAAACAGTAAATTTTTGTCAATTTTACTTATTCCAGTGCTCTTTCCTAACTGCACTTGAAAAACCCCAAAAACAAATTAGGTATCGTTTGTTAAGAGTTTATGCGTCGTTAAATGCAATGTAAAATGTGGCTTGAAGTAAACACACATTGTATTTTTCACCATAAATGACACTAGCAGACATCTGTAGTATTATAGAGCATCTATCAAGAAAAATATATAGAAATATATAGAATCTGAACTAAAAACCGGCAGTCAAATGAATAAAATTCATGATAAACTTTTAAAAAATCTTATAGACAACAAGAGCGCTTTGAGCATGTCGTCGATGGCAGGTGCAAGATTGTTATGCAAGCCCCTCCTAAGTCATCTTTATTAACAGCCACGCGCTCTCCAATACGTGTGCAATTAAAACAGAATTTTGTTTGACGGGGAAGCGATTAGGTGATATAGAACTARAAAGCCGGCATGAAAGGTTATTACCTCGCTCATTAGTTACCTGAGTACTACGTGTTTTGTTGTGTTTACCAAAGGAGCCGTTTAATGTGGTGCTTTCGGATGGTTTGTTGCTTGATTCAACTCATGAATACAACCACAAAAACCATTTTTCTGAACTTTCAATTGTTGGTTTCCGAAAAACTCTAGATTCATGCAGTCTGATAATGAATGAATTGAGCCAAAAGCTACTTTTTATCCAAACCGCAACGCAGCATGCTCGTTTGGTGTCTTGCTTCACCTTTGGTGTTTTCATTGTATTTCAAATTGATCGGGTTAAATATGTGGTTGGGGTTGTTTTTACAAATGATTTTGGTAACTAGTTTTTATTTCAGATAATAGTGCGGTTTTCCACTTGTACAGGCAGTTTCGGTAGATAAACCATTAAATGTGCCATATTTTGAGTAATTCATAACATRAGCATCAGACTCAACTCTCGTTTGTTTTTATTTCAGGAGGAGAATATGTGACGTACTCTGAGCTTGAGAATTCTAAGGAAGTCATCATAGTCGTTCATTTTATCGGCGACACAAATCAGATTACGAAACTCTTCCCACAAACAATAATGGGTGGAATTGGTTATCCAATGGATATCAAAATATTACTCAAGGTATATCAATTAGTATGTCTTAATTGCTTTGTAATACAGACCATCAGGCATTTCTAGTAAATGAAGCGAGGAATGGGAGACTCGTACCTAGTCCATTCTTGGGTGGCGCGCAGTGTATTAGGGAAAAGTGAATTAAAGAGGCGACTCTTTATCTTTCCTTCCCAACAGCCTCTTGGAGCGTAGTGTAGTAGTAAGAACTGGGTACGAGTCTGGAAAAATGGGACGAGAAACGAAGAAAGAACATGGCTTTCCTCGCCTCATTCTTCTCCGCTCATTTGCAAATATGGTCATCATATGAAACGTATAYATGGGCACCGCGTGGACAAAATGAATCGCTTACAGAGTTTTCATAAGATTATTCCCTTGTACTCATGCAGGTCTACCTAGACAGTCCTTCCAAGTCTAATGTGAAGTGATATATATTTTTTATAGCTTTTCTAATAATCAACTTCTGAACTCTATTGTTAGCCTCCTTTTGAATCGTTGGGAAGACCAAGAGTCCTTCTCGGTTTGATGTACAGCAGCGCACAGGAAATCCAAGTCGACTCGCGACACTACAAGGAAAATGGAAGTACCGAAACATGTCGGGGTTTCCTTCATGTTCATATTTATGAGGCAAAAGATCTTCCTCAACAAAGGGGAAAAGCACTGGATWCTTCTGGAAAATGGTAAAGTCTACTTGCTCTAGTCAAATAAGAACATAGAAAATAACCCTGTGCTTACTCGCAAATAAAATCATCGTCTCAGCTCATACTAATCTTATACCCATGATACTATTTCCTTAGGTGAATACTGGTTTCTCGTATTTGAATTTTTTTTCATTCTCAAGACGATCAGTATTCATACATGAGTGTTCGCGCGCATTCAGGGGGGATTCCCTGGGTTGTAAAGTGTTCTTACGCACAAATAGATGCACTGTAAATATGATCCGATTAGAGAGTACGCGGTAGGCTAAAGTAAGAGATATCTAAACTAGGCAAGTTATGATGTTATATTTGTCTTTCAGCTATTTACTGCCAAGCAATAAGAAAGTCAAGTGCAAATCAGTATCTAAAAAAGGGGGAAGCCCTGTTTGGAACGAGCAGTTTTTGATTGTAGGCGTTGGATATACAGAGATCAAGAAACAAGCTTTGGAATTTTGTCTTGTCAGCAAACAGAAGAAGTCGAAAAAACTGATCGGAGGATTTCGATTAAGCCTTGGATATCGACAAATCATGGCAGCTCAAGCGGGAAAAGCAAATACTGTTATATCCAAACTGTTGTTAAAGCCTTTACCAACAGACGAACGACAAAGTGATACAGATACGGAAATGAGAGGTTTAGCTCGACTAGCGATTGCTATTGAGAAAAAAGACCAACATGTTCAGAAAAACGGTACCCACCACGCCCAGATAAATGGCAGCGCGAAGGACTCCGCCATAAAATCAGTCCATCCTGGGGTTGATACTAGTAAAGCATGGAARATCACAAGTATGGACGAGCTACGAAGTCTTGATCGTACAATCACTGCTCGTGGAAGTCAACAATCTCTTGAGGATGACTGCGGTAGCAATGTTTCGAAAGACATTCTATCTTCGACATTCTATGATTCTCTACAGATCAATGGTTCTTTACCGAACATTATTGAACAAAACAGTGTTTCAAAAGAACTTGTTGTTTCTGATACAGCGATCAACCAATCTTCAAATACAACATCAAATGAGAAATTTAGTTTGAATTTGAACACTGAAAATAATGGCAACCCCTCAAGAACACATGAAAACATGCAAGATGTGACCGAGATTTCAACCAAACTTTGGCTGCAGAGAAACGAGGCAAATAGACATTGTAGAAACTCGCCTTTGCAAACGAGAAAACCTGCCGAACTGAAAATGAAGAAAGAATGCATCGAAGAAAACAACAACAAAGAAATAGACAAGAGAAGAAGCCAGTCAACTGCTGATATCGCTGAGGATGATCACTCCTCAGTCTCGTGTTCTTCTGCACTATCCAGACGATGGAGTTCCGATCGTCACATCAAGAAAGACGAGAAAAAGAAGAAGAAGAAGACACAACTTGAGACAATTCTCGGAGAAGGACTCGACGAAATGACATTAGATGCGGTGGGTCTTGAAGTAAAACAATGGGAGAATGTTGTCAATCGTCCAAAACAATGGCATTACAGTTGGCAAATTCTCAGGAAAGACATGATTCCGGTACATCACTGTAAAACATAATTCAACTTTGCATTACATGTACAATGCATGTTGCGTTTTAAAACATATCACGCGCGGGATAGTCCTGATGTCAACCAACTCAGAAGACCTACGATGAAAGGTGGATTTCTATGTACTCGAAATGCTATCGTTATTATTAATAAATCTCTAAAAACCTGGGTCGGTTTTGTTCAATAAGGTCGAGCGTTGCGGTCGTGAAAGCGCTGCGGATTGAAGGATGTATTCGCATTATTCGTGAATCAGTTTGCGGGAGAAACGAAGATATTGGCAGTACAAAATACTTTGCAATTTTGTGCAGTTTCCTACGGTGTTTTAMRGATAAATRTAAGAATGCGCTAGATTCGATGCTATTTCAAAAACCATTGGCGGGGAGAACGGCGAATAGCGATTGTTTTTAAAGTAAGGAGATTGTACGACCGAAAGGGACTATGGCTACACTTTCTTGACAAACAAAATTACAATATTTCACAAATCTTATCGTATAAATMCGTTATTTCTCATCAATTAGAAAAACMCATGGCTACTATTCGTCGTGGCATTGCCATTAGAGTACACTTGACACTCGCCATTTTTTTCCAACAACCTTTTTTGATTTTTTGAAATAGTTATAGTATACGCTTCTTGGGAATGAAATATAGAAACATATGCCAAAGTACTAAACAATTACTACCAAATACACCAAAGTACTAAACAATTACTACCAAATACATCAAACTAAGTACTAAACAATTACTATACCAAGTGTCGACAGCAAGAAATTTATTTTATTACTAGAGTGACTTGCATTCAAATTTGACAAATAATTGCTTTAATCGTTCTGTTCCGTATCTATTCTTTGAAAATCAAGACAGTTTTTACAGAGAAATTGAATATTTTTCTGCCTTGGTCATCCTCGGGTGATTCCGTCTCCCAATACTTGAGAATCTTCTGCATCATCTCAGGGCTTGCTGTCTGTCTAACGCTGACAAGCTGAGTTAGAAAGTTCAGCAAACGATTGCCTTCCTTGGAAACGGGATCAAATATTGTTGTTACGTTGGCGCTGATTAAGTTGCCATCACATTCAGCATATTTCCAGCCATTCTTTTTGGCCACTTCAGCGATTTCCACGTGGTTTGTGTACGATTTTGGAGCGAGGACCACACCCAAGGGCGAAAACGTTGATCTATACTTGCTCCACTCAAGGCCTCCTACGTTGACAATTATCACACCTTTGTCTCCGAGCTCTTTCTCGTAGCAATACTTCAGGGCGGTTTCAAGATCATCGACATAGTAGATGCTGTGCAGAAAATGAATGATGTCAAACTTCGYACCATCGTCTTTCTTATTGGGCTTCATGTATTCTTGGAAGCTGATGGGAAGAAATTCAAAGTCGGCTTTGATCTTTAATCTTTCGACAAACTTCTTCTCATTGGTTCGGAAAACTTCCACTTGACTTTTGTCTGGTTCGACTGCACGCTCAACGAATTCAGGCTTTTTAGTTTCATCTCCGAATGCTTTTATCATCATTTCAATGAATGGGAAATCACAAAAGCCATCTCCAGCCCCCATGCTTAAAATGYGGAATTGTGAAGGACGATCTTTGAAGAACCTTTCCAACATGGGACGCATGTGCTGATCGATGCAATTCCACGTGGAATGATGCGTTGAGAGCTTAGCGTTAAACTCGTCTATGGATTCTAGGTAGGCAGGGCCATTGAGAGGTAAAGCTTCTAATTTGGCCATGTTGTACTTATACCGTCAAATCTTACAATCAAGAAAAAGGTAAATCAATAAACAGAACAAAGAATAAATGATGGATACCATTACGTACTGAATCTCATTCTCGTTCCCAGCTGCGCATGCGTGGTTATTGTAAAAATCTCGTAGCGCATGCGTAGGAATCTGGGAATGAGAACGAGTGCTTCTCAGATCGAGAATGTCACCATGTACAAAATTATAATTATGTTTACTTTAAACCCATTAGTACCTTACATCCGGTGTATCTCGTACAGTCATCTGACCCCCTCCCCCCCTCATAGGCCCTTTTTTTTCTGCCCCCCTTCCAACCCCAAACCCCCACCCTGACCCTTCCTGATAAAAAAAGAACGGTCCCTCACGTACTCTGAAGTTCCGAATAATCATATAGAGCATAATAATAGTATAGAGTGGAAAAATACAAATTTACCAATAATAGTATAGATCGGAATAATAGTATAGGGTGGAAAAAACGGCAGTACTGGCAGTTTTCCCGCATTTTTTTGGCAAAACCGCTGACTTCTCCCCAGTTTCCCATGTGATCAAATCCGCTGACCAGATGATTTGTGCTCTTAGTTTGCTGTTCGTTCGCGGTTTTGTTTTCGTTTTAGAGACAAAAAGTCTGTCTTTTTGGCAACTTTTTTCAATTTTTTTTCTCACGATATTGTTAATAACTAATTAAGGTAGGCACAGAGAAAAAAATTGTGAAAATTAATAATCGTACAGTCCCAAATAAGGCCGTATAGAGTGGAATATTTTGCCAAAATAAATAAGCGTATATATACGATTATTCGGAACTTCAGAGTATAAAAGATTTCTGGAATGTTCTAGCAGAAATTGAGTTGCCACAGAAGTTATGTACTTCTGGTTGCCATGGTGATCAAATGGCCTCTTGCGCAAACCTACCTGGAATTTATAGTTTTATTCAGTCTTTATATCTGCAATTACTTGGGCTTATACTAACACGGCGGCCGAAAATCCCGATTTTATCAAAGCTTGCCTTCAATGAAAAACGATGGACATGAAATCCCTGGTCAATTCTCCCTAAGTGTTCATGTGTATGTATAGCCGAATGTTTTGGGTAGTATTCCAGTTTACTGTACTAAAATACACCATAACAGGAAATGTTGCTGCATATTGAGGTCCAGGGGTCAGATCTAAGTTTTCCGGAGAGAGGGAAACGTTTCAAGTTTCCTATTTCAATACTTCTGGACACCATGCAGCGTCCCAAAGAGGCAAATTTTCGATATTCTTTCGAAATTCGCTCGGCCTCGATTATGGCGCTTCGTGCCGACAAAACTCGCTCGGCCTTACGGCCTCGATTACGGCGCTTCGTGCCGACAAAAACAATAGCGAAGAGAGAAAATATCAAACCTCTGGGACCAGGGTAATATTCTGGCTAGTTACACACAAAAGAACTGACGATAAGGCCGCGGGAAAACAAAAGAATTCTCCATTGTCATGGTCGTTGTGCGTGGGTATATAGAAAGTGCATGTACATATATAGAAAGTGGAACGTTCCATAATTTCCCTCAATAATTTCAACAAACATTTTTTAAAGGCCTTAAACATTAGATTCGATCATTTAAACTTCGTCGTCTTTTTAGATTCTTTGAACCTTGAATATTTAACCAACATCCGAAAGAAAACTTTTGGTTCGGCTACAACGTACTAGAAATTCAACAGTTTTATTTTCCGAAACTAATACTAACCGATCAGTCACTTTCACTTGAAACTATTCGGGAAGCCCGAGCTATTGCACGAACCGTACGAATCAATGCAAAATCATGAAAACTAAAAGAAATACATACCTTGGAAACACTGTTGCTTCACGGGCTATCTAAGCTGTGGTGACTAGTAACGCTGTGCTGCACGCCTATTTATTGGTCTCAGTACCATGTCAGATTATGCTAGAATGCCAAGCATCCCTAGGGGGTACCCCAGGGGGACTTAGCCAKAGAGGACTTTCATGGATATTCTAATTATCTCGCAATACAATCAGTCGACAGATTTTTGAGCTCTCCTGTTTTAAGTGACGATATAATACATACTTTTTCGAAATCGAGTGATATTTGATTGATAACTTTTGGGGTGCTTGCACGTTGAAGTCTACCCCCTCCCCCCGCAGCCCCAAAGGTGCTAAATCACACCATACCGTAAGCGGTACCATGGTACATGTTATACGTGACATCGACACGGAAAGTTGCACACAAAGAAAATTCCAGAACTTAACTACCATAAGTGTTCAGAGATAACTTAGACTTTTTCTTCAACACACTGAATGTAAAACTGAACCTTTTTGACATTAGATAGACTATTTTTTTACCTTTTTTCACTGTAATATGTATATTTTTGTACATAGTGTACATTAATCATTGTTGATTAGATTGCAATATTGTAATCACTTATAGCTTATATTTTTCACTGATATTTTATTTACATCCAACGATTTGTTAAATATTACAGAACACGTACTGCGCCTTGAGTAAGAAGAATGTAAGAGTCGTGTTTTGGTCGCCTCAATGTATCCAGGAAATATTAATTCCAGTCACACTTGTCCAGGAAAGGCCAGCTTTAACAATGAATGAGCTTTAACCTCCTTCCTGATTCCTTCCTAGCACTATGACTTTCCTGTATTTCAATATCAGCTTTAAGACTTTGTCATTTGATCAATTTGATAATCCAACAACATTGAAAAGAATAATTTTCGGCATTATTGTGTCAGTGGACGTGCTTTGGCCAAGAAGTTTAGAATTTTAGTCTCAACTATTATGGTTGTGACCTTCTTGACTTGTTTATGTCCCTTGGCAGAGTCTGTAGTTTCTCTGCTGTGAAGCGGAAGCGGGTGCAACAAGACTTACAAGTTCAAAATTAGGATTGATCAACTCCAAGAACAAATTAGTCTACCAAATTCTACTAATGTATTCTATACAATTCAAATGAATGGCTGAAGGCTTCAACAAAGACAAACAGTCAAACATTAACGTTGTACATTTGTAAGGACACAAGGACACATTTGTATAAAAATGCTTTTTAAAACCCCGAGAAGAATTTCATTAAAAAACTCAAGATATTGACATTGACTTTGTTGTGGTCTTCATGTCTTTACAACTGACCAACGCATTGTAGACTGTATAAAACAGCGATAAATTACGGCATATAAATTAAGCCATCCATCATCGAGTTTTGGTTTTCACTTCAAGAGCTATGACGCATGTGTAGTAGTATTTCTAGTCTTTGCGGAAAAATTGATTCTATTTTTTCAGCCCCTGAAAAAGAGCATGTGAAATTTATATCTTCAAAGATTTTATACCGAAGTCACTAAGATATGAGTTGACTACGATAAAGCTTCATCTCTCTTTTTTCTTGAGACCCCATCCCACTTCCCAAGAGCTAGAAATGTTACCCTAGAAACCGCCTTTCATATGGTTATCTAGGACCTGACAGCCCGAGTAATCAGCGAAGACACGATGACCAATCACAAATGCTGTTAGAATCCCATACGCTGATAGCCAATCAGTAATCCCTTTATGGCTAGACTAGTGTCCATGCTACCTCTGTTGAATTTTCCAACATGGCGGCAAAACAACATAAAATTTTACAGCGAATCATCACAAAAATAAAGTAACTTTTACCGCTACATATAGAAATGTAAGTTAATATAACTATTCTAAATTTTCATTTACATCTAGATTTTACATTGGACAGCTTCTGCCGCGAAAAATATTGCAGAAATATGAAACTTTGAACACATCAGCTGTTGTAATTGCATAACATTCGAACACAATTCTGTTCACTGAAGAAAATTATAGCGAGCAGGAACTTTAACAATGGGCTAATGTATACAGCATACAATAAACGATCGTTTAATTTGTCTAATAGTATTTATAATTTGTGTCTTGAAGGGTATTTCCAATTTTCCTGTTCACCGTTCATCAAAGATGTCCCAAGATTAAGCTTAAATCCTGCTCGAATTTCAGGTTTGATTCTATATATTTTACTTTTTCTTAGACCTTAAAACCTTATCAGAAACTTGACATTTATATTTAAAAGAGGATCATCACCATAAATTAAATAAATTAGAATTTTTCTCCTTAACAGTTCAAAAACAGCGAGAACTCATTATGAAGAACTAGGTGTAGCTGAAAATGCAACAGCTGTTGAAATCAAGAATGCCTTTATAAAGAAATCAAAAGAGGTTTTTATCATGATAATTATGTTGTATACATGTAAATAATTGTATAGAAATGAAAGAAAGTTATAGTGCTTAGAAAGAGGCAATTCCGGGAGAAGTCCCTTAGGAATAAATTCTGAAAAATTAATTTCCGACCTCACTGGGATTCGAACCCACGACCTTCGGATTTGTACACCGATGCTCTACCAGCTGAGCTACAAGGCCAGACTGGGAGCAGGTTGGGGTGAAATAGATGTTAAGGTCTTTAAATAATTGTACATTGTTTGTAATGTATTGTGGTGTCTATGATCACACATATATTATATTATAAATGCATACAGTTGCAAATCCTCACACATTTTTTCTTGTTTCTTAGGTGCATCCTGATATTAACCCTCAAGATCCAGAACTCCATGATGCATTTGTTAAGGTTAGTTATATGACTTGAACCACTAAATCATAGCACTGTATGAAAATTTACTTACATAAAAAGAGCATCTCAAACTAGTAGCAAATAAGAGATGCCTCAGGTTGTGATATCAGTTGTTTTTTAATTTTGTTGTTTTGTTGTCTAAGTGACAATGTAGATTCAGATTCTTTTTGACGGCTGTAAATTTGTTTTTACACACCATTATTGTCTAGATAAGTGCTGCTTACAATGTTCTTGGTAACAAAGAAAGTAAAAAACAGTATGACTTGAAACTCAACACTCCAAGCAACTCTCACTCAACAAGTAATTACTCATATTCGACAGGAAATCCTTTTGGAGCCAGGTAATTTCACATGCAACTTTTTGTAAACCTTTCATAGCTTTAGAGACCTTAAGGTTTAAAAATTCCCTACTACATTTTTCAAGGTAGTCATTTGTCCTGTTACTATAGGATTGAGTAGAGGGCTTGCTCATGAACACATTCAATGCTCTGTTCATCATATTCATATGGATTTCATTGTGCCATAAATAGATGTCAATTCTTTAATAGAGTGTCCATTTTGTGTACACTAAATTCAAATAATAATAATAGCAAATAATATATTATTTCACTTTTTAGTAGAGGTCATGCATCGCACTATACTCATCAAAACAGGTGAGTAATGAGTAGTATTCATGATTATTATTAATGATTTCAAAGGCCATGCTCACTGCATGTACTTGTAGTAGTAAAAGTGATTTTAATGGCATGATAGTGCAATCAGTTGTAATTATTGCAGGAATTCTCATTGTTTTGAAGTCTTTTTTGTATCATGTGTTTATTTGTTGTCTTTACACTGTCTCAGCTTTTTAAATGCAGCCATGCATAAAACCAAACAAACAAGTTAAAGATTCTTTCTTCTCTTTGTTGGAAGCCTCACTATTTTCTTTTGAATCAACAGTTGGCATGAGGCCAGTAGACACCCCCAAGTCCAACGAAGGATAAGGAAAAATCCTTATAACAAGTATGTTGTGATAGGAGCATTGCTGTTTATGTTCTGTGGTGCCACAGTACACTATGTTGTCCTCAAGTAAGTACTAGTGACTAAGCCAATGCTGTAGCTATGTTGTTTATGCTAACATTCAGTTATTGATACATTTTTCCTTTTTATAGTTACAGACATAAGAGATACAAAGCTCATGTTGAAGAAGCAAGTAGAAAAGCAAACTTAGCTTACACAGAGAGCAAGGAGAGAGCAAGGTATTAATGTACATATTCTTTTTGTCATGGCTCCGCAGTTCCTTTACCATATATCTAAAGACAGTTGATATTATATACCTCATTTGCAATCCACCTCTACTATTTAATCTTTGCAAGCTCATATGCCTCACTTAATGTAAAGCATCCTTGCTAAAAGATTTCTTGGTTCCTGGAAATGTGCAGGGAAGAATTATTGAAAGATATAATTTTGTGTGTGGGGGGGGGGGGGACTTCAAGGATAAGATTGCACTCCAATTATTGCTTTAATTTTATTAACGACTTTAATCCCAACCCTGCTTCTCTTTGTGAAAATCCTGACATATGTCTGTCAGCGGAAAGACTGATGAAGCATTTCACTGACTATGTTTGTGATCATTTTCAGATCAAATGGTATTCATAAACAGCTTGAATTATTGATGGCTCTTCATTCACATCCAGGAAGAAATCTAACTACAAGTACAAATGATGACAATGATAATTCTTAATAATTTATATACTTAGAATCAATACTACAATAGTGTAGTAAATTGGAATGAGAGATTTCTGAGGAAGTATAATCCACATTTTCAACAACAATTTTTTTTCTTTCTTTCTGGTCACTTTCTCCTTTGTATTTTTCATTTTTTCTTTGCTTCTTTTTTTCTTTTTCTTTTTTTTAATATTATTGATGAAGCAAAGAATGTCAGCTGTACATCCATAAATGACATTACAACAATCAAATAAGTAATTCTATAATATAAATTTTTATCCAAACTTTATATTTAATGTTAGATTGTAAATATTATGACTCATTTTATTACATGTGGAAGTACCATGCTATGTATATTTTTGGTAAGTAGATTGAACAATACATGTAGCTTACATAGCAAGCATTTCAAACAGGGAAGAAGACATACCCTAGTTTCATTCAATGCATGACGCACACTTTCCTGTCCTTCCATGAAATTGAAAAGCTCACTATGACAGCTGCACAACATTGGGTGCCTTTTCAAGTCAAAGTCACCTTGATACAGTGTCTGCCTCAAATTTTCAGAGTTTAAATAAATTTACTGCTTTTAAAATAAATCAGGATTCCAATTACTTGATTAAAAAAAACGAAGAATAATCAAATTGTTCGCAGTTAGAGTTTTGTCTTCAACGCAAAATCGCATGACTTGAACTGAACAATGTAAGCCTGCCCAGGCTTATGGGTTTCCTGTGTTATGATAAGGAGAAAGAGTGAGCACTAGTTCAAAGTCCCAGTGATGACTGCATATTATTGTACATATAAATGTACATGTATGTATGTGTATTATATTTGCTCCCATATTTGTTTTCTTCGTTACTTCAATTTCTCATAATTCCTTGTTTTCCAAGAGCGTCAGACTGTGTCGCAAGTCGTGTCTGTAAAAACAAGACCTGAGTCGGGGGAACTGCTCAGTAGGTGTAGTCCTGGGCGCACATGTGAAGGTTCACAAGAGTGATTCCAAATCAAGTTATCTTGTTCGTAAGAACTTATTAAGCAAACAGTAACTCCATTCGCCAACTGATAAACCTCCATTTTTATCAAAGTCGCATTCATTTAAAAGCTTTCTACTGCACCTTCGCCCACGTTTTATTTTCCCAAGTGCTTTCTTCATTTTTGATACAAAATACTCCGAAGACGTTAAAAGACGATTGTTGTTTGCATCCAGCTGGTGAAATTTCCATGCAAGGACTTGGTTGTTTGATAGGAACGCACCCCATAAGTTGAGATGTCCTGAGCGTGCCTTCCGTTGAATTCTTATTAGACTTTCTAGAACAAAAAAAAACTTGTAATATTAGTTTCAAGGTACATATAACATTCGTAAATATTAGATAATTATATTACCATCCATGTCTCCCACTAATGCTTTATCATCAATCTGTTTCGCTGTCACTTCTTTTCTAAACAACTGAAGCAATTGTCGTGCGAATGTTGGTAGAATTTCTCTGGTACATTCTGTAATGATAAATAAGAATATTAAGTATAATTAAGAGTATAGCTGTCGTTATCAGTCCAAATATCTCTGTCTTTGCCTCACTGTGTTTATTGTCTTCACTGTGTATGACAAGACCGTAATTGCAATTTGCAAAAGTTATAAAGACAAAAGCAAATTTTGTCATTAGTAATCGGTTAAAATACCTTTCCTGCCTCCCTTTTTACGAGGACTTGATCCCCCTCTTCTATTACCTGAAAAAAAACGTTATTGATGAAAGGTATGACCGACAAAAAGCAAAGCTTTACTCTGAAGGTGAAGATGGGCATTTTTTTTTTAATAGTACTATTTATAAGATATAAAATCAAAACTATAAGTTTCTTTAATTATTACACGATTCGGCCATATTGATAGTCCTACACCTACAGCCCCCTCTTTAATAAAAAATTATATATCTGCCCTTGAGCATGATTGAGGCCACCATAATGAACCTACCGTATTTTCTACAATCAAGAGAGGATGTTTTCTCTGTTGAGCCTGGAATTGGTTTCCCTGTGTCGACATCAGCGCACCAACAGTAGCCAATGGCCGGGTGACATTGCGTAGGATAATATGATCCATCGCTTTGACATTTTGGCAGAAAATGACTACCTGAAGGCGAATGCTGAGATAGCTTGACCGCTGTCAGATACTCTCCAATACACTTCTTAATTTCTGTCAAGAAGAGAACAAACTAGTTAAACCCTTTTGTTGTTTTGAGGGCAGATCCCAGCAACTCACTCAGGATGTTCTTTTCATCTTACCTTGAACTCCAAAGCAAGCATACCACTCGTTACGTGATAGTCTATTGTCTGCATTTTCATCGCAGTAAACTACAAACGTCTTGCTGCATTTCTTTGGGTAAATAGTCTTCTTTGTTGTTCGAAGCAAATCGTGAAGTTCTCTAAAATCCAGGAAGTAATTGGCGTTCTTGTCTAACTGGTTAAATTTCCACATTAGAGTATGCACTTTTCCTATACCTAAAAAATAGGCATAGAGATTGTCTCTAGTTGTTGCAGGTCAAAGTTACATGTCTAAAATTATAGTATTTACCTTGGATTCGTGCAGACGCTGATTTTCCAGTCATGTACGCTATAAACTGCCTCTCAAGCAAACCAATGACCTTTTTGTTGAAAGTGACGCGGACATTTTTTGGACAGCCTGCAAGTAAGAGACAGTGCGCACAATATTATTATCAAATACGCTTTAGCTTTTCGCATTCGTATCTGAAATGTTTTGTTTTTAGGTCGACAATTGTATTTCCCTAAACATTTCAAAATTTTGTGTGTATAGATTCAATTCATCAAAGTGTTAGCTGACAAAATAAAATTACCTTTATAATTCATCCGTCTTTGCTTCCAGTGTGGTCGGCCAGAACCTCTTGGGGATGGAGCTGAAAATCACACAAAAAATGGCTTTGATTGGTGAATTTTTACTAGTAAGAAATGAAAGTGCCACTTACAAGGGCAAACTGGTGATCCGTTCCTGGTTCTTGTTCCTGAGATTTCTTTACCGATATTATCAACACACCAACAAACACTTGCTGTTTTCATACACTGCACTGCATTGAAACTCCCATCAGGGTTACATCTAGGTACAAATCCTAGATTTAACAACTGTCTCTTCTTCATTGCCATCATGGCGCCTTGTCGCGCCTCGGCACACGGGGATTGCGATGCTGAAATGTCAAAGTCAGTTGATGAGAATTGAACACAGTGTCAATAGCGTTCAGTCAATGTTGAATAATAAATATTTGTGTGTTGTGTTATATTAGTCGGCGATGTTCCAGCTGGTGGGTGTGGTAGACTGCACCCCGCTAATGCGGCCATACACCCTTTGATGCGAGCCCTGTCCTCCCCTTTGAATGCTGAATACACGTTTAGTGTTTCTGTTGTATGTTCGGAAGTTTTATTTGCTTGCGTTTCGGCATATTTCTTGGATTTCCGTTCCGTTTGTCATGCATTACTTGCCATTGTTTTTTTTTTCTTCTTTTTCTTCAGTTATTCGCTTGTTTTCATTTTGTTTGCCAGTTGTTGATTTTGTTGTTATTTCTGTTGTTGCAGTCTATTGTTTTATTTGATTCATTGCTGTTTACACATTTGCGTGTTTATTGATTTATTTTTTGGCTTAGACTAGTGACCTACATGGACATCTTCCTTTATGAATCATACGGACTTTGTGTCCTCGACACTTTTCTTGCTGGAGATGGCAGCGGCTTGCATACGTTTTCATGTCTGTTCCACAAACTTCGTTTACATTATGAGTAGGACATGAAATTCGGCAATTGTACGGGCTCTGTTGGGAGATAAAATACAGCAATTAGGAAAACACAATGTACTTTATTCACTTACGGGTTATTTTTCACGAGTCATGTGTTGGTCACGCGATCCGTTGTAGCACGTGACAGGTAGTGGAGGCGGCAGCCCCCCCAGTATTTTCGCAAATTTAATTTTGTTTCATGATCAAATCTCGTTGTATTTTCCTATAATGTAATTCATTAACAGTTATATTAACAGCAAAATGAAAGCTTGATGAATAAAAAAGGATTACTTGACCACAATATTAATTAATTTTCTTAGCAGGGCCAAAAACGCCCCGCCGCCCCTAGCATGATTTACTCGAATGAACGGGAAACTATATTTTGCTTTGCTTTTGTCATCAAGCAGTGTACTTGGTAACGAAAACGTACTGCCGTTGCTGACATAAACAACTGAACATTTTCAGTTATTTCGTGTTCAGAAACTGACACTTTAGGGTTTGTAGTTGTGTATCCAGGGGGTTTCATTGGTGTTATGCACTCCCGCTAATATAAAACAGCGGCACTTTGTGATAAACCGATAGGTATAAAAACAATCTTGACTACCCTCGATCGATTTTTAGCTCAGTGTTTTTCGGGGTTCGGGCTTGTGCTATTTCTACTTATCAGTAATGTTTCCCGGTTTATAATTACATGCATAAGGCCATAGGGGAAAGGCAAATAGGGCAAATCTTGTCTAGCACTTTGTTTACAATCCCAGTCGCTTGCAGTGGATCTTTCAAGCTTGCAGCTCATGATCGCCGCATTTACAAGTCTAGACGAGAAAACTTGCTGTCAATCACACTATGGCATCGTATCTAGTCGCAGCGGCACTTGGTGATAGATTTGAATTTAGACGGATGGTTTGAATGCTTTGGATGCGGACAACAAATCAGAACTGAAAGTTTTCTTTCGTGCATGTTTTTCAGATTTTCTAGGAATATATAAGTTCTTGCGTGCATGTCATTTGTATATGTGACAGCGAAACGTGACTTTTTTGTATTATTAATATTTATCTCAAGTGATGCTTATTTCGTGACATCACGTCCGAATTCCCCGAGGGATCACTACAGAATTCATTGATAAACCTATAAATAACATGAGGTCCCTGGTCGACTTTTTGACCCAAACTTAATCAACCAATTCTCAGTTCACATAATTATGGTATCTACATCACATACTCTGTTTCTCTTTTACTTTCTGAATGGATTGTATTTATATAACATTGTTCAACAGAACTGAACTACAGAAGGGCATGAAGATATTTATATTTACATGCGTGAGTGAACGATTATTGCAAAAAGTTGCTTTCTTAAGCAAGAAAACTTGAAAAAAGACTTGAATTGGAACTTTCTGTAATAAAAAGAAATCGTACATGTGTTTGTATTGATTGAAAACAAATACGCTCAAGTGGACAAGTTGGACGCGAGTCCGTGACCAAGTCCCAACCCAAGTCAACATGTTTACATAGCCAATTGCATAATCGCCCGTCTGTTCGACTCTTCAACCAAACTATCATTTTTCTAACGAAAATAATAACATATCTTACTTACAAATCTCTTCCAATACAAAAGTACTAGTATTTACGATTGGAAAAGAACTGAAAATACTTCAACCAATAAATGGAATAAAGTACAAACTTTTTAGAGTGCGAGAAGTATCGATTGCGTCACACTAAAAACCGATGTAGTTTTTCACAATCAGAAATGTTAATGAACGTAAAAAATATTCCTGGGTAGCTTATGAGATTCTACAGTTATTTACATGAAACCTTTCAGATTGACGGCAAATGTTTAGTGGTGTCGACGACTCGCCCCGCTAACATCACAACATTTTTCGAAGAACAATGAGTCATTTTATACAGGAGAATGGTGTGATGTAAAGACTTATGCTCTGGATTTTAGTTCTTGGATCATCTTTGAAAGTCTCGCATTTTCCTCTCGAAGCATCTTGTTTTCTTCTTCAAGCTTTCGATTCTCTTCTTCCATAAATTCAGATCGTATTTGACATTCAAGTTCACGGACGCGTCTAGCATCTCTAGAACGCTTGGCGGATGCATTATTCCTTAGTCTTTTCTCCCAATATTTGTCGTCTTTCATAGAGCTTGCAACCTTTTCTCCCCGTCTACGAGAACTACCTTTTCTGGACGCATTTCTTTCAATTTCTGGTATTGGCGTAAATTGAGGGTTAGAATCTTCGCTGCTGGGTGAACTTTCACCGCTGCTCCTTATGCTTGAAAGTGGCGAGTCGGAACCTAACTCGGAACGATGACTATTGACTTCATTATTCGATTGTTGAGCCCTTGAACTCGAAAAGGACTGCAGAGAAACAACTTTAAGGATATTGTTGATAGAATTTTCAGATAGAACTGGCCCTCTTTTACAATAATATGCACTATTTTGCTCATCGTCTGACATGAGTTCAATCCGTTGTTTTGGTCGTTGAATAACACATACTCGCTGATGATCTGCAACTACCTCGCTATTCAATCTTTCGCGTTTGACGGGAGAAGGACAAACTTCGTCGTCTTCCATCTTCTACTTTTAGGACCAAATATCTCTTAAAATACTCCTGACTTCTACGAGCAAACAAACGTATTTTTTGCGTGTTTTTCTGAACTGCTTTCCAACATTGAACCCTCTAACAACCTTTGACTGAACGGACCGAACGAATTATGTCATCTGGAAAAACAACATGAATACGCGTGCGCAGTGAGATTGATTTTCCGGTTTGATTGACACGAGCTATTTAAGCACATGCTTTTGCCACGTCACGTGTAAGGGCCGAAAACTATATTTTAGCTTTATTTTTTGGTTTTGAACAGGCATTTGAAACAGTTAAAGAAAGGCTTTTGACGGACTAAATTGACATCATTATATAATCTATCTTGTATTCATTTTTTCTAAATATATACAAAGTACTTTTTTTTTAAATATATATATAATTTGGAAATCCAACCCGATTAACAAAATATATAAAAAATTGAAAAATATGCGTAATGCTCAATAAAATGATTAAAGAATCCACTATTCCATTGCAATATTTAAATAAAATCACTAATCATAAAATGATAAGATATAAAAAAGGAAGCTCAAATAACACAGGGATACTATTATGTACGTAGGTCTACTGAATTAAGCTCAAAATACTCACGAAATCATCAATAACATCAAAAATAGGAAAAAATAATAATATTGAAACACGCAGACACGTGAGAATGGCTTCACGGACTAGTTCCTTTTATAAAAACACCCGATAATTTTCGCTCTTGTACCCTTGGATGCACCTGTTCCCGGAAGTGTTGTCGTTTCCCAGTACGATTCAACATCCTGCATTTTAAACTACTAAGCCCTCAATAGACATAAATTCAGTATATGACTAAAAAACACTCCGCAAAAATGGAAAATAATCTTTTAAATCAAATTTTAGAACTTGAAGTGGTTTTAGATGTTATTTATGAAGTCTTCAAAGTTTCCATTTCAAATGTACGATGTTATTCACCCGCAACAGCAGTAATAAAAAAGAGTTGAAGACAGGCGAGCATTCCTCTAAAAATGCTACAATTTTAAAAGCACCAAGCATGTATCTTCTGCAAGATTATTGACATAAATTGACCCGAAAAGTCTCATTTGCTGTTTTTCTTTTGGGCTTCCTGTGCTTATTGTCAAAGAGCGCACAGGAAGCCCAAAACAAAAAGTTGGACCATAAAAGTCAATACTTCGTCTACAAACTTAGTCTAGATGTTGTGAAGACGTCAAAACTATAACATAGTTGCATTAGTACAGGAGTAGTGTTAATACTGCGTGTTTTACTAAATGCGATGATAACCAAGTCGTTGACTTCCTGTTAAACAATAATCTGTTGAAAGAAACTTCGTTAACGCGTCTATTAAAGAGCTTGTCACCAACGGAAGAAATTACTTAACCGAAAGCTATAGATTCTATTGTTAGTTCAGTGTCGATTACAGTTTAAAAAAGCCTTGGTTACTGAATAAATCAGTGTTATTAATAATTAATAATTCCACATCTTCGTTCAACAGTCTGTGACTGAGGTGAAGATTCTTTAGGACTTCTTTGTATCGTTTTTCTATCTATTTTGACAAATGATAATAATTTTCATCCATTCATTAATTCTTTTTTCCTCTCATTCAGTTTTATTCGCTAACAGACAGACTGAACGTATTAAATACCATTTTGAATTGACTTTGAGCAAGAATATTGATTTTTCATTTGACCAGATTTTGGTTGGATCTAGCAGAGCTCGAAACTCGTCATTCTTTACAACAGTTCGAACGTTTAAAGAAGCCGTTAACTTTTCCCGCTTATAAAACACATTCCTTGCGAACTGATCAGCGTTTCGTGTTCTGGGGATTGGCGCATGCGCATCTCAAGGGAGTAAGGAGGTGATTCAAGCATGTCCCCTAGAGACATTAATACCAATCAAAATACAACTGAAAATATGGTGTGCAATAAACAAAGTTTGTAGTCGAAGATTCAAAAACTACATGGCACGTCGTATTTTATTTAGTTCAAAGCGAGCACCAATCCTTCACACAATAAAGACACTCAATCATTAGTCTTGCGGCATTAAAAACGTTAAATCAAAATGCAAACTTGCCGCTAAAATTACTTCAAGAGCATTAACGTCGTACTCACCAAATGACTGTCATTTACAGATGCATTTTGTAGCTTCGGCATTAGATTCAGAGTCACAAACAATGATACTATAGACATGATATAAAGTTGGAGGTTTGTAGACAACCTTTCTGGCGGTGTATTGTGTAGAACCCATCAGAGGATCAACCACTTCATTAACTTAGGTACTTCATGTCATCATAGTCTGATATTCTGTTTCCCCACCGGTTTTGTTCAATAATAAGGTGATAAAAGAACAAAAGGCATTTCATGGTCGCTTTGAAATGTCAGTTTACCAAATTTAACCCCATTTATCGGTCAGTAGAAAATAATATCCATTTAGTGACATATATAACGTGAAAGTCATACAAAATAATTTCTGGAATTATCTCCCTGGAAGACAAAAAGTCATTGCCATGCAGTTTTCAGGAAACGGTAGATGATTTCCCGCCTTAAAGAATCGATTGGAATGCACTCACGGCGTAAGAGCGTTGAAGAGACAATTAATGCACTTCCAATAGCGAAATAGGCTCAGGAAATTGTGAGACAACGCCCACACTACCGCGAGTTTGTATTACTTTTCACGGCTAATTGTCCAACAAAGAAACCATCATACAGTCATTGCTTTGTATAGACGCTCGTTACTTCAAGCTTCAACAAATACTTCATCAATAACTACTCTAGACTCCCATTATCACGGCTGAAGACTGGCTTTCTCGTAATTAAGCACTACTTAACATAAGAACGCGCAGAAGACTCAGTACTCTTCTTCGAAAGAAAAATCCATCTATTAAGGTCAAAACAGCAACTTATCTGTTGCAAAAAAGGCAAACTTCTCTGTGCGCATTTGCTAGGTAACTTTTTTAGAATTCCATTTCATGGACAACAAGCGACATACCAATGTTATTATAGTCTAATAGTGTCAAAGGTTCATTAGACCACCGATTACGATAGTCCAACGATACTAAATTTCCCAAAAAATAATCGGCTTACTTTAATTTTCAAAATATTTAGTAATCTTTCTCAAAATCCAAAGCTTTAAGAAATGACCGCAACGCTGGTGGGTTGCAAAATGACGCATGCGCAATAGGTCTCTAAATCTTAAGTTTAAACTCGCTTCTTTTCTCTATGTTCTGTCACATGAGGATTTTTTTACCCGTCGCATTTTTTAGTTAGCGTACATGATCATATGCATGCATAGTGTCGCAATAGACCTTTTCGCGGTTAAAACCAAAGCGCGCAACATGTTTGCTACAGCCCCTAAAATGAGTGCCAAGTAATATCAAAATATGATATTTTTCACCAACAAAAATTATTTTCCTGACATTGCAAAAAAGATAAACAAGCTCGAAAAGGACAATTTTTGAGATGTTGCCCGATTTTTCTGGCTGTGGTGCAAAACCACAGGCTCCCAGCGCAACTTGTTTTCTAACCGCGAAATAACGCATATAAATTCACATCGACACAGAAAGCCCAATAGTAAAAAGAAGTTTTTCTAAATTGAAATATAAAAGTAAATATAAACTCTACTGCAGAGGCTACGATCCGACAAAATGCAGAAAGCTCCCAAAAAGATAACACAAATTTTGAAGATTAACAGTCTAAAGAGTAATCTTATTCAATTACCATCAAAAAACCTTTATCAATTATGATTGTTGTAAAAAGCTTTCAAGGTACATATGAATCACGCTTATTGATTAAAGGTTTGCTTGAATAGAGCATTAAATGCTTCAAGTGAGCTTTAAATGATTTGCTAGTCTTGACAAATTGTCCACCGAAGACCTCTTCTGCTCTTTTGCGGCAAGGAGCTCACGTGCGCAGTTGAGCTTGGGGGTCCTTTTCACGAGTGTTCAAGTGTAACCCGCCTATCAAATCAGCTGGTTCAGCCATTCTACACACAGGAGTGAATGCTAAATCCTTTCACAATGAAACCTAACAGGGCATGTTACTTCTAGTATTTGTTGAAAAAGAGAAAAAAGAAGAAAGAACGAACCTACGAAAACTTAATGTTAGGCGTTGAGTGACAGTTTGTTATAAAAGAAATATAATCGCACTAAAGAAGACAGATTAAAATCAAAAACAATTGCTTATAGAAAAAAATAAGCAATTAGAAAAATATATAAACAAAACAGCCATGCTATAAACATCACACTTGAATCATCTTAAAAACAAAGGGCAGTTAGGTAGGGAAAATTGTTTGGAACTTTGAACACACTGGATAGAATAATGAGTAGCATTAAATGACAATTTCTAAAGGTTAACAGTTTATATTACGCATTCAGTATCGTAAAGAAAGAGAGGTTATCTCCAAGTCATTATGCGATATTCTTAACATGCTTTAGAAATGTAAACTTCGTGATCTACGTTGCACTAATAACAGGAAGCACCAACTTTAGTACCAAGAAAACAACTCAAAACTCAGACGAAAAACTCCCCTAGTTATGACTCAAATCCTTCTTGTAATCTCTATAAATATCACCCAGTGAGCTAGAAGGGGGACTACACCAACATAGTCTGTCTTCAGGGGACTGTTTTCTTTCTAGACATTGTTTAACCCCAGGGGAGAAAACACCATTGCAAAACAAGCAAGTTTGCCTCAATTTTACTTTTCTATCGACTCGGTTTTTTTGTTAAGAAATGCCCGAGAGAAACACTTCAGTAGATTCAGTTTTATCTTCTTGAGTTATCAAAACAGATCTTTTGTAGATGCATAATCATCATTAAAAATTACAGGAGCCATTTTTAGCTGACATTTATCAGATTAGACCTACATGGAATCGTTTTATCTTACTGATGGAGGTTCAACTGGTTGAAGATCACAACCTATTCGGGATTTGTTTTTTTAACCCATCAAAAAATGTCTGCAAAAATCTTTCGTGCTTGTTTGTATTCATGTAGCTAATTAAAATGTCTTTAGAACTCAGTGGTGAGTGAGAAATACCAGGCATTTCCCGCTAAGGAGTTTTCTAAGTTTTCTTTACAAATGCATTAAAACACGTCAATTTACCTAAAGCCGTGACTGACTTGACAAACAAACACACATTAAAGCAGTGTTTAGTCAATTATTGCCGACTTCAGTTGGCTTTCTTAAACAGCTTACAATGTCAACCGCATTGATGATAAATATATAGAGTGTAAAACGTTTCACACTTCATGAAAATATTCACAGCTTGTCGAAAATGTTCCAGGGGAGAATCGCGTCGATATTGCATAACGGAGTAACTTAATTCATTGAAAGAGCGAAAAATCTTGCAACACTCAATGTCAACAGAAAGGATATAAGCCCTCATTTTGAAGTGTGCTGCTCAAAAAGGAGAGCTGTGTCGTTCGGCATAAAAAAGTATTTTTTGTCCTCGTTGACACAAGTTGCGCAGACCGGAGAACCAAGCTCCGGTTCGCGTGCCGAATTGAATCTAGTCGCGAGAAGACCTTTCATAAAATGACCTCGAATGAAAGCTCAACCTTATTCTTCTAGAGTTATAATAGCAACAATCTTCAACTTGAAAACCGTCTCAACGTCGACATAAATATAGCTTAAAATTTAGAGATTCACTTCTGCTATTTAGCAATACTTTAGCAAAATGTGTACTTCGGAACTTTTCTTGATTTTTTTCTTTTTATACACCTCGTGCATAAAATATCCATTCAATATATGTTTTACAATAATACATCTATACATTTTAGTGATTTTCCCTCGAAATAGTATAATATTTTACATGTTTTTTTCAATTCTGTAAAACTAGACGACCATAAAAGGTTCTTAATGAGTTTCGTGGATCAAAGACTTTGCTCTCTTACCTGTGCAGTAGAAAATCGGCTTGCACATAACGAGAAAGTCACCAAAAGCAGAAGCCGCATGTTCTTGCTATTTGAGGATCTTCTTTCTTCCTGTCTTCTCCTCCTTCTTTACTCCCCAAGGAACCTTTTGATTGTCTGGAGTGATTTATTCTTTTCGTCAACGGATTCTTTTTTGCCGTGTGGATTATGTTACTTGCTATAACTGATTCTCGCAATCGTCTGTCCTTAAGCGCACGACTCTAAGATAGTTAATATAACAAATGTTACCATTTGCGACTTGTAATTGAGCTTGTTTACGTTAGAGTAACAAAACGTTTTCACCAGCAGGTAAATGGTATATTATGTGTACTTCCTAAAGCTCTAGAACAGTCTTTGTTAGCAATGGAGCTGATACACGAATTATTGACAAGGCCAAGTGCGTGTCACTAGTGTTTATCGGTTCCCGCATACCATCTTCCTTATCTTTAACGACTTTCTATAATTGTTAACAGAGGCCGCGATGGACGTGTCTGTGCTTAAGATAAGGCAAGATTAACTGCTTTTGTTTACTTTCGCGGGCTTTTTGTCCAAAGAAAGAATTACGGAAACAGCTCGCGCTGGATCCCAAATGGTACAAATCGTTTCCCAGCAGGGCCTAGGCGCAAGGTGAGAGCCTTAAATGGATTTGTGTATCAAATCATCACATCGTAAGTCATTAAAGACGGATCATGAGTGATTGCAAACTAACCTCGCTTTGTTCTGTAAAAAGCTACTACACCGTCGAACCAGGGCAAGAAATTTCCTTCTGTATTTCACTAATCTCACTCGCAAATCTAGAAGGTCGTAGGATGCTTTTGAATATCTCAATGATAAAGATCTTTTTAAATGAAACCTAACCCTTTCTTATGTTACATAGGTTATGACGAGAGCATCATTGGCTAACGAACGGCACAAGGCGTGGTTTCCGATCAATACTTGGTGAATGCTCCAGCGATTGAATAACCTTGCATAGAGACCATCCAAGGAAAGCCACATTGGATTAGTACTCATGATTTTATCTTTGACTAAGAATAGATCATTACAGTTTATGTTAATAGGGCAAATACGTGTCAAGCCGGAAGAACTTGAGATTCTTTTTAAAATTCCAGGTGACGTTTTAAGAGGCTTTGTAAGGAAGCCGAAAGGAAAACTTTAACACAACTTGATATGCGATAAACTGATTATGCCAAATGATTCTATCAGTTTTATAGTTTATTTATTTATGAAAAATTTCCGAATTACTAGTAACCTTCATAGAGATTGAAATTGACGACTGTCCATATGAAGAAGGGGCCTGGAAGGGGCCTGATGCAGGCCCACTTTACGATAAGAGTTATTACATTTTCACAAGCCCCTTAGGTAGCGGTTTAATTTTCACCACAGACTGAGCAGCCGTGTGTGTCTAATTTTAAGATCTATGAATGTAAGGTATACATAGACCTTTCGTCTGTAAAGTATTAACATCATGCATGTGTGTATATTTATAAATATCAGCAGCAGCAGGTTGCGCTAATATAACCAAGACTGCGACATGTTTGTATTCGGCTGGATACAATTTGTTCTTTGGCAGAGTTTCTCAATCTAATCCACTGCCTCATTTTCTATCTCATGTCTTCCTACTGTTGTCCTGGCTGTCATCGTCGTAGTTGTTGTCGATTGTTGTTGTTGCTGTTGCTGTCGTTGTTGTTGCTGTTGTTGTTATCGTTGTTGTTGTTGTCAGTGTTGTTGCTTTGTTCGTTTGTTTATCAAATGTTCTCTTTATTTCGTTTAATTTTCAATATAGTTTGTATTTTTTTATTTTTTATTTTTTAAACTATGTGTAAAAGTAGATTATATTTCTGAGTACCGCAACACATTCCCGACCCCAACATCCATCAAGATGGCCTATATCAGTAACAAGCCTTGATTAGATAAGTGCAGTTATCCCTTGGGCTGTTCGTTCCCCCCGAGAGTGACGACTTATACCGTCATTGAGACGTCAAGTAGAGATACTCAACTCAGTGGACGTAAAACTTCACCGGCAGTGGTCCCACAATGGAACTTACACTAACGTCTTAGCCAGCGTTAGTGTGCTTAACCTCTCATAGCTTCTCTTCTTCAACAAAACCATGACTAAATCTAGCTACTCATCTAGTACCCATACGTGCGGAACACCGCATAGATCCACCCACAATGAAACAGTAAAACACGCAGAAGATATCTTTCGATATAAACCAACCCACCCTCCCCTCCTCGTGAGTGGCACAGTCAACCAGTCCACTCCCCCACGAAATTTATTATGACATATGGTCCTTCATTTCAAATTCGCGAACAGTAGCTGTCAACTTTTCAATCTTAACTAAAACTAACAAGGATAATTTTAACTGATAGATTTCCTAGCCTTCAACAAGATATCGATTCATATTGAGTCAATTTACGACCTTTGATGGATTTGTTAATACCGATAACGCCCGGCGATGCAGCAACGCAAACGATGTTCACAAAAAACTATATGCATAGACTCTTTATCAAAATTATAGTGCACAGCTTATAGCCTTGTTACTCTGCACGGCAGATCACAAGGCTAATGTCCCGACCTAGTTCACTGGTTTCACGTTGATGGCCTAATTGCCGAGTAGAATAACATAGAATAAAATCATTGGTAATAGCAACACACTCCATCCATGTGTGGTCCATATGACAACATATATTCCATATGTGAATTCAAAAACCACAAGAGAAACGATTCTGACCAACTTGCCGCTTTAAAAAGCACGGTCAAACCGTTCTTCTTAATGCAGGCAAGGTGGTAGACCGTCAAAGTCGGTAAGAAAAGAACCAGGCCGCGATGATTAATGCTCTCAGAAGAAAATCTAGTTAACTCGGAAACAGTGCTCGTTTGCACACGTTTTATAGTCATCTTTAGCAAAGGTACATACCATTCATAGCTTCTACATGCATAATATGGTTTGCCAAGGCTTCTAGGACTTTGTTTTTGAATCTCAGTAATCTTGCATGTACGAAATAGTGGAGTCATGTGCCCATTTGCACTAGTTTAAGGATTATCCTGACGGCTTCGTAAAAAATAACATGATTTAAAGCTGAGAGGTCAGAAGGGCGGACACGGGCTGTTCTTTGTAATTACAATCATAGCATTAATGGTATTCTAAAATGGATGGCTGGACGACAGTTAAATTATCTAAGTTAAAATTGGATTTGCCCTCCCAAAAACGTCACAAATTCATAGGAAAGGAAGTTTAGATGATGAGGCGTGCGCATGCGCGTGAAGTGATAAGCGCGCTCGTTGTCTTTGCCACAAAGCACTTGAATAATTCTAAAATCTTTCCTTTGATTTCCCAGCGCATTAAACGCCTTAAACATTTCTTCCGTGAACTAAAACCAAACACGCAAGACAAGAGGTTGAGATAAGAAAGCTTAGTATCTTTAAACCGATTACATAGAACTTTGTTATCAACCAAAACCCCAACTCCCATCACTTAAATGGCATCTGAAATATCAATCAGCCCAGGAAATGGAAGGGTTTGCTCTGTTATTGGATAACAGTTAGCACACAACCATGTTTTTGTCAGGATATGGATAAGTTGGTTCGTATATAGGTAATTTCCTCAATAATTTCAAGTATCACTTTAAAAGATTCTTTTCCGTGACGAGGCTAGACGATTCTTCTACTTGGAGCCTGCACTATTACATCTCAGCGGTAAGATAATTAAAAAAACTCTTTCGGCGCACATTGATCACTCCACTCCAATCTTTTTATGAATGCTACCCCCCCCCCCCCCCCCCCCCGTCAATCTTCAATGCCATTATATTGCATCATAAGCAGCTAACCGTATTTGGAAATCAACTTACATATTTCTCTTACTGAAATAAACTGTCTCAACGATCTCAATACGCGACGAATAGCTTTCTTGACCGGCATCCTGAACTGACGGTTTTCACCCAGAAAAAAAAAACAAACGAGCACACAAACAAACACATAGGAAGCCCGATTTTTTTAGTCCCATGTATTTGATTTATAAACATTATGTTGAGTCGTATTCAAATGTTATGGTAAATCTTTGGGATCCCTGTGTTATCAGTTAACCACAGGGACGAGGGACCACTGGCAGCCCATCACTTTGATTCTTGGACTTTTCCCTTTTCTTCATTAGACTTTGATTATGAATTTGTAGAAAAAAAGAATACACAAGAGTACACTTCCTTTACATTGTCATGTGGACTATTCTGAAAGGTGCCATGGAGTGAATTGTTTAACGAACTGTCCCTCAATGCCGCTTAAAATGGTGATTCAATGTCAAAAGCAGGGGCTCGATTCCTAGGCACAGCGGCTATTCTTTTAATCTTTATTCTTTTATTCATTCACATCTATTTCTGATTGTTATTACCCTTTCTATTTTTTTAATTTCATTACGTTATTGAACCAGCCGACAATAAATTCAATAAAAGTGTGTATGCATTACTCCTAATTCGTATGTTGTTATCAATAAAAAACCTTAGATATTGAATATGATGAATTGCTTGTCTTTTAGATGACACATATCATATATTCCGTCATTCTTAGTCAATTTGATATTGTGTAAATATAGATTTTGATAGGTTTGCATAGCAGAGTAAACTATTTCACTATTGAACCTAATCAGGATTGCTTTGTATTTGTCTTGGTGACGTAATTTGGTCAAAGCGAAACTTACACAGTTTCATCATGAAAACGTAAAACAAACATTGATTAAGATTAGTTTTACTATGATACCCAATCAAGAACTGCTGAGTCAACATAGAAAGACTAGTTTAAATATACCTCATAGCTCAAACACACTTGGTTCACAGTCCTCTTCCAAAGAGGTATCAGTCAATCATTGCAATGGCAGCTCCACGCGCATTGCTTCTTCTGGGTGTTGCCGTTGTGCAACTTTTTAACTTGGCGTGGTCTTGTCCACCCTCTTGTTCATGGACAACATGTAGGCATGAATGGAGAAATGATTGGTCTCCTCGTTCTTCTCCTCAAGGACGATGCGTAGAGCAGTGGAGAAGAGCTCATATCATCACTCACAGGCATAATGGGAAGGGGAGATGTCCTTCGTCGCAACACTGCGGTCATGCTTCTCAACGTCAAAGGCTGTGTAAGTGGACATAACAAGAGACAAAGGCACTTTTTTAGTTTTCACCCTTCTAGTTTTCCCAGTTCATCCCAAAATAATCTTATGGCTTTTCTTGTAGTGGACATTAAATTGGAGGGACAGGGTGGTTCGAAAAAGGAGCATTAGTCATGCCTTCTATGAGAGAGAACAGAGAGTAGAGATACTTTGTCCTCTGTTGTACTAATCCTTAGAATTAACCAAATACTTTTTTTTTCTTTTTTCTTTTTTTTTCTTTTTTCTCCCTTCTCTGAAAGGGTTCAAACTGAGACTTCCCTATCACCACAGTAGCATATTCAATACCAGTGCGGCCAGGTCTATATTCACTGGGGACTGACCTGCCGTGAGCTTCTTTGAAAAACTAACTAAGGGTTCATTTTACAAAAGGAAACTAATTGATGATTGTTTACGGAAATAGGAAAACAGATCTGTTTGACATTTGGATATCTGTTTGGATATCGACGCAAATATCATTAATGATACCTTTTCGTTGCTGATGCAATATTTTCTATTCTCAGCTGTTAACCGCTAAGCATGCATCTAACCACTGTCCATTGCAGTTCTTTGCTATCTCTTGTTTTTTCTTTTGTTTGTTATTTTTGTTTTGAAAACAAAAGCAAAGGAGGCTACTTTAAAACCTTGTCTAGTGAAAAATATATGACACATGAAGTTGGAGATTGAATGGACCTAGAAAAGATTGACTTCTTTGAAAATCAGTATCAGAGAACTTCCAAAAAATTAAGTTGGCTACTGATTTGAGATTGGCCCGCCCTGATTGTTAAAAGTGGCTTAAATGACATAAAATTTTGTTTTGTGACTGAATAGCCGAAAATTAATCAATTTTATTAAAACATAAATCATGGATTGGTTTGCAAGTGTTTTATTTGATCAGCAGGATTTGCGCCTCAGGTGGACCAACACAAAACATGAGAAAATTAAACATGTTTGACTATTAGCGATTACTCACTTGATCGCCAATCAATGTTGTACAAACACAAATCATACCAGTGAAAAACGTTCATTTTTTTTGCGTTTACTAAATGAATCGAACTGCTGTTGATGCTGATACTAAAGCAACTACCAAGAACAAATAATTGAACCAAGGGATATTCCCTGCAGTAGAACAGACGAATGGTCATAAATTCCAGCAATATACCGACTAATCGTTTATCTATAATCAGATAGCACAACGTGATATTATTATTTATTCGATAACCTAATAATTCCACATTTATTACGTAGATTAACGACAACTGATCAAACAAAACGAAATTGTTTTTGATGTCTGAATTGGTTAACGCACGGCACATTATGCCTTTTGGGATATTTTTTTAGAGTTTAATGCTGCTAAGCATTTCTGTGAAGAAATCATTGATTTTCAATTGTATTGTCTGGGCTATAGGTTTTTTGAAAAAAACTAATGACGTCATATGACATAAGTATAACGTCATAAAATGCAGTAAACTAATTTTATTAACTGAAAATACATCCACAGTCAGATTTCTCATATTTGTGATTTTTGTGTGTGAATAATTTGGCTTTTAAAGGGCACTATAGTACCTGTATCCTGTAACCCCATCCCCCATCCTTAATACCCACCTGTTCAACATTAATTCATAGGAATAAAGAGATCAATCAAAACATCTTCAACTTATTTCAAGACGTTTCTTTCTCAGCAATATTCACGATCTTTTTTTATCAAGATACTTTTAACTTCGTATGTAGTTTTCCTATATTTTTGTAACTATCCATGATTGTTAAAGTGGTAATAATGTTTCTTCAAGAAGAGTATATAACTGTATATTTTTTTTACAAGTCGTTAGTCAACAGAACTGGAAGCCAAATGGAGAATGGTCTTCCTGTGTGCAACCTTTACACAGGAAGACCACGATGCTTATCGTGTCATTGCTAGTTGACCCAGTTACCATTATTGCATATATAAACAGTCCTTGTTAGTTGTTGTAGCCCAATGCCATATTTGTTGATTATTCGAGGTTCGTACGTTGATTCCACAGGAAGACCAATTTTTACCGTGTTACATTGATATTTTTACAATTTCATCTCCAGGTTCTTGTAAAAACACATACTCTTGCCCCTTCCATAATTGGTCGGGATGGTCTGGACATGTAAGTCCGGGAACTTGTGCAAGACAGTCGCGTAATAGACGTTACAATGAATATGTCAGGTAATCCATTTGTCTGTCTGTCTGTCCGTCTTGCCGGTCTATCTTTTTACAACTTTCATTTTCTCTACAGATATGTCACAAGAATGCATAATTGTAACGGTATCAAGAGTTCGTGTGGAGCCGCGCAGTATGATTACAGAACATACTGTAAGTGCTATCACATTATCTATTTAGTCATTCTGTTCAGTCATTCTATTCAGTTCTCTTTCAATTTCTACATACCACGTTCTCTCGTCTGACTGCACGAGCGTTGTACAAGCTTTTACCATTTTGACACAGAAGTAAAAAACTTAGTCAGTGAATAGCGCCATATTTGTCCGCTCGTACCTTCTCTGGCTCTTGTTCTAATAAGACGCTATTTTTTGATCTCTCAGGCAAGTGTTGAGCCTGCATTAGTTTTACCCTAATTTCATAGCGCTATTATGTCCCCTCGTACCTTCTCTGGCTCTTGTTCTAATAAGGCGTTATTTTGTGATCAGGCAGGTGTCGGTACGCTAGTTGTACCCTAGGATCTTGGGGTGCATGGACGGACCTTCCATCGCCTGTCCACAAGGATCATTGTGCATCACAGAAGAGGACTCGTGGTTATACTCTAGTATGGAAGTACCTTGAAAGACGAGATAACTGCAATGGTGTTGGACCCCTGTCTTGTCCGTCCAACCAAGAAGAAACAAGAGAAAAGGGTAATTAATAAAGCACCGCGTTCAAATAAAGAAAAAAAATAGGTGTACATATAGTTGTTGTACAATAAAAATCAAGTATCTAAGTTTGGAAAAATGGACATACGAATGCAGCATAATCCAGATAATGAATAAATACTTTTATTTTTAGTCGTAACATGTCCACCTCTTCCAAGGCCCGCTCATGGTTCCTGGGACCGAGATGACTGTATGGTTAACCCTCAGATCTGTAAATCTCCTTGTAAGATTCAGTGTAACGTACGGGATGGATTTGCTGTGTCAGGACCAAGTACACGAATCTGCAAATCCAATGGTCAGTGGAGCACTCCATGGAATACTTACTGTAAAGGTAAAGTGCTTTTGTTTTATTCATGGGCTTCCTGTGCTTCCTTCTCCAATCACACGAACCTCGAACATAAAACAGGCTGCACTGGAGGCAATATTGTGGTCTATAAAAGTATTTCAAATATTTTTGTAGATGTTCAGCAGCCGGTTATCACATGTCCTCCGTCTAAAGTTGTTGGTAACGACCCTGGGAAAGACTTCGCTACCGTCAAACTACCAACACCCACCGCCAAGGACAACAGCGGTAAACCTCCTCGAATCACCAATGACGCTGGCGCAGCGGTCAAACAGTTTAAAATCCAATCTTCAGTGCATACAGTGAAATATACCGCGACAGATGATGCTGGGAATAGCGCATCGTGTTTCTATCATATCACCGTGAAAGGTACAGTTAAATGCACTAAATTACACTACGTCATACTCAATGCCAAGTATTGCACTCTCATTAGAGAGTTTTAGATTCACATTTACTGCAAACGCCAAGCGTCAAATGGACTTTTATGCTTTGTCTTAAAATTTCAAATAAACGTAAAAACATTTCAAAAGGAATAGTGATGCGTTTATGCACGAAAAAGTGATCTATTTTATAYACAATCGCGAAAGAACKGAGCGTTAATACAGAAAAACAGTGATCACGTGATCAGTTTTGACGTTTGGCATTCGCCGTAAACGCGTGTCTAAAACTCTCTATTGCCTCTTTTCCAGACACCGAACGTCCATCAGTGGTTTCATGCCCCGATGATATCAAAGTACGAACAAGCCTAAATAATGAACGAGTAAGCTGGAGCTACCCTACGTTCAAAGACAACTACGACAAACCACCTCACAATCCTTTACGAATTACAAGTAATACCAACCCTGGAAACTCGTTCACATGGGGCGTCCACAAAGTCATGTACACAGCATTTGATAGAGCCAACAACAATGCCAGCTGTGAATTCTTTGTAGATGTTGGGCGTAAGTATTTTGCACCATCAAATCATGTATGACTTATGGTGAAGACTTTGTTAATCCTTCGTCGGATATGTATAATTATGTTTTGTCCCACCACCTCGATGGTTGGTGTGGTTAACGTTGTTTTGATGATTAGCTGATTGATTGGTTAAGGTTGGTTAGTCATTCTATTAGTTGGTTGGTTGGTTGGTTGGTTGGTTGGTTGGTTGGTTGGTAGCTTGATTGGTTACATTAGTCATTCTGTTAGTAGACTGGTTGCTTTGTTGTCGGGTTGCTTGGCTGCTAGTTTGCTTTGTTGGCCGGTTACTCGGTTGCTTTGTATGTTGTATGGTTTCTTGGTTATGGATTTTTGTCTGCTGGATAATTAGTTAATGGTTTCGTAAATCCACTCAAATTGTTCATCCCACAGCCAACAAATGTCCTTTATTCGATGCTCCAAAACATGGAGGTCGTGCGTGTAACAAATATACAAACAACGTGAAATACGAAATGCTGTGTAATGTTCAGTGCAAGAAAGGATACGCATTTGCAAAGGACGCCCCAACCGTCTACATGTGCCAGTCAGATGGAACATGGCATAAAATGGTTTATGGAAGTCCTGTTCAGGTGACAAACGCGGAAAAGAAGCCTTGGCCAGATTGTGCTCGTAAGTGTTTATAAAGCTCTAGGGAGTAGGAAGCTGCTACTTCAATGGCGACGTAAATAGAAGATGATTCACTTGTTGGACTTTCTTGCCATTTCAGCTCAAACTGGAGCCAACTCGGCTGTGAAAGAGTTCACATTCTACACAGGCGCCTGCGTGGGAGATGAGGGGCAAGCCATGAATCAGATTCGACAAAACTTCCTGAAAGCAATCCAACAAAGTCCATTGGCAAACTTTGTTCTTTGTCAAGTCAGCCAACATCAGGATTGTGTTGTAAACAACGTCAAAGTGTACTGTGGGGCAGAGTAAGTGTTCTGTTTTTTGCGTGGATGCAGCTCAACCAGCATTTTACGTCGATTTTAACCGCGCTAAGTGGCTAAATAAACAGCAGGGATCGCAGGGGCGGATCCAGATGGTGGGTGCAGGGGGTGCACACCCGCTCCTGAGATCTGTATCCTTCCATACTTTCCCTATTTTGTATCGTCATGGTAATGATTTTTGTCGGGGGTGCAACCCCTCCTGAGAGCCTGCTCACCCCCTCCGGGAGGAAAATCCTGGATCCGCCACTGGATATTTTTAGTTTGTCTGAGTTTGATAGAGTACCAAACACAATGATAACTTATCAAAACCTTGTCACATAAGGCGAATGTTTTTCCGCAAATAATCTATACAAAATATTACTTTAATCAGTACCAATACGTGTACCATTCGTTTTTAAAACGAACCCGAATCTTATCCATATTTTCAACTAGTTTCTATCTAACATTTTAAAACTATAACTTTTTTTTACTGAACTGAGTACCAACTTGTTCTCTGAAGGTCCAAACGTGATGGAAAGACACCAGCACAAAGAGTCATCAAATTTGATTTCGTCATGAAATTCACCGACCCAAGTGGTGATCGTAAAGTTGATGCTGCCAAGGTTTTGAAGCTTATGAAGGTAGATTGCATAGCGAGACTAGCTTGACGAAATCTAAATATTCTTACTATGGACGTTCTTACTATGGACGTACAAAAATTCTTATGTAGACTTGGCCTGAATCTGAAACTTTTACGTCACTACTTGATTTTGGGATCAGTTTCAATAGAAAACAAAAGAAATCCGCCATCATGTTCTGTGCAAAACATATCCTACAATGCATTGCGTACACGGTACTTGACGTCAAAGCTTCAGAGATCTATTGACTAAAAAATGCCAGTGTAAATTCATTTGCTATTCCTGATGCTTCTGTCTGAATAGGCATGTTTGGGTCAAAACATGGCGGATATCTTTTTGTTTTATCCAGAAACTGATCCTACAATTCATTTCAAATTAGGTACGTGACGTAAAAGCGTCAGGTCTATTGACACATTTTCATTCAACAGGATCTTGAGAAGTTGGAAAACTATGTCAAAACAAAATTTCCAAGTCAAGCAAACATACCCGGATTACAAGTCGTGGCCCAAAAGGGAGATGTTTTTTGTGAGCCACCAAAAGTGAAAAGAATCCTTAGCGGCAATGAATCAGAGATTGAGAGATCAGTTTGCGGTAAGATACAACTTATATATCATATACCATATATAAATCATATACAGGATATTGTATACACAGCTATTTGCAATARTTCTGACACACCTACTCTAATATTTATATTTATCATATAATTATCTATGAAATACCTATATTTCTCCATTACGTAAAATTGATATTTTCACTAGTGAAAATTACATGTTATTTTCACTAGTGAAAATAACACATTCGAGGTTTCTCTATATAGTGGAAATAAGAAAAAAGGTATTTTACGACATAATTTGCTTTCATATCTAATTATATGATAAACAGAATATCACATGGTCGCTTGGAGATACAAATTTTATCTTCTCGTGTTGAAAATCTTTCACTCGTTCGCTACGCTCACTCGTGAGAGATCTTTTCAACACTCGAAGATAAAATCCGTATCTCCACGCGACCATGTAATATCCTCTATATATCAAAGTAGCCTTATTATAGGATAGCATTGCTGATATTATTTTTAGAAAGTATATTCTCATTTTGTACAACTCAAAAATATATCAGTCATGATATCCCATAATATTAAAGCTCAATTTGATATTATGAATATCATTGTAGGTGGGTCACAATTATTGCAAAAAACTGTACACTCGCTTGCAAAACAATGCAATGCAATATTATGGATTGTACAATTGTAATATATTACAAAACAAAATGCTTACAAATAATAAGTTATATATGTTATATATTACAAAACAAAATCTATTTGTATCTATTTTTCCAGTGGAGTGCCCAGTGGGAAGTTTCTATGACAACACTACTAGGACATGCGCAGATTGTCCTGTTGGTCAATACCAAGACTTAGAAGGCCAAACACACTGCAAGCAATGTCCAAAGGGGAAAGAGTCAGTAGAGCGAGGAGCTTCACTCATTTCAGAGTGCTACGGTAAGCAACTTTGTCTTTTTCTTTCTTGAACCTTTTCTCTTGTTTTCATTTTCTTACGCGATTTTCGTCACCAGACTCTTGTAAAGCTGGTGAATACACCCATAAGACACTTGGAGGAGCGGTCACGTGTCTTGCTTGTCCATTGGGTAGTTACCAGCCCAAACCACTTTCCAAGTCATGTTTGCACTGTCCCTCGGGTAAAACTACTACGAGTGTTGGAGCGACTGCACTGGTCGATTGCAAATAGATTCAAAACATGGTAAGAGAGCTTTGACCTTTTTTCAGCAGCAATGTTTCTGGACGTTTTTGGTAACTGCAACTACGCGGTGATGATCGTCGCGCGACCATCGCCTGAGTTTTGAACATGCTTGAAAATTGCCTGCAACTTCGCGACGATTTTCCATCGTCGCAACAATCGCAGGTCTGTTTACACTCGTACGATTTGATCTGAGTTGCGCGATAGCAAAGTGGCGATTATCACGCTGCAAAAATCGTACGTAAAGGGGCCTTACGAATGATGACCCACGAGTAGGCTAACTGAGCGCCTTTTTAGCTCTTTTTGAATATTTTTATCCCTTTTGGACGAAGAACAATTAAAAAAACGCTATGAAAACGCATTAGTGTAGACCTAATTGACTTAGAATTATTTTTTTACGAGTGCAAAACGTATCACCATGATCAATTCGGTAAAAAACTCTGAAGTTACGAGAATACCATATGCTATAACACAACGGCCAGTTTCCATTTCAAACGAAAAAACGCTTTATTACATTCTACGAAATATTTCAAAATATTTCAACGTCAAACTAACACTGATCCACACATAGGGTCTACTTTGTATTGACTGGCCGTGATCATGAAGAACTAACGCTTAACGACAACATTGCAAAAGTGTTAATGTCATAGAAATAATGAAAATTTGAACTTATTTGTAAGGCACTAAAAGAAAGCGCTCGGGCTGAATGATCTAGTGCCTGGTCCTTTTGATGAATACTAGTTTTACTTTTAAGTACTTAAAAGTACTGAATGCTCTATTTCTCTTTGATATTATGTTTAACATAATTCGTTGACTTTTGAACTTAACTCTGTCACTTTCTTTTTCAGGTATCAGACATTTACACTACATTCTCGAGTAGTTAAACCTAAAGACTACACCACTGTCATAGAGAGTCACAAGACTTTTAGTAATGCAGTCTTTTCGTTATTGTCATATAGTTATTAGAGATGTTGTACCTTTCTGTATTGTAACTGAAGAATAAACGAGATGTACCCAATACGTTGACTATTGTCTAATTATTTCTTAAATTATTCGTATTCATGCGAGAAGAACTGAGATTACACTTCTCTTTGATACTCGGCAGCATATTTTGTAAATATTTTTAGTAATTGTGCAGGGTTATAATTTGGATTAACATCAGAAACTATATCTATTCTATTAAGACGCATTTTTAATTTATACCTCAGCGTTATGTATATCGTGTATTTCTAAACTAAATGATGGAATTTCGCTGCGAAATTGAAATTTAACAAAATGTGTTTATATGCTCAAAATATATCATTAATCAGCTAAAAGCTATTTTTATCGAATCCTAGTCGTGTAGGGATGAGATTAATCAAAGACTGAGTTTGTAAGTGTGCATAACCACGGCTTTTTCCTGCCTTAAGTGGGCAGAACACCCGCTATACAGAGGAAAGATCATGTGTTGTTCTTTGGAAAACCTTTTACAAGAGATATAAACCAATACATAACGGGAATTTACCAGCAATCAATATGACGCAAAGTTCTTTTTTTATCAATCTTATCTCCATTGTTGCGTGATTTGAATATTTTGAGGTCTTCTTTATGAGACCCGCCCTTTCTCTCTTTTCCCCGCGTTCCTTTCCTTTATTTCAGAATCAATGCCGACTGAACACAAAATCTCGCAAAAACCTGGCGACCTTACTATGAAAAGAGATGATTAGATATCCGCAGCGTCGGTGATTTATCGGTGTTTCGTTGCCAAACAAAAATGATATCATATGTTTAATCGTAGCATGACTACAATTGGCCTTCGCGATGACCTGGAAATCCTGAGCCGAGAACCTCGAGATGAAATCAATCAGTGTCAACAGTGTTTTTTCAATCTGTTGTTGAGCCACCCTCTTCCAGGTATTGTACTCTGAAAGTGATTTTCATTTCCTGCACCGCTGAACAACACGAATATGACACAACGCAATGGATAGCTATAGAAAATGACAGCCAACCTAGAGCTTCTAGAGCCATAAGGTGTGTTTTATTGGCAGTCAATGGCTATTTCTCTTACTGAGGTTAAGTGTAGTTTATAATATGGTCAGGTAATTTTTATTCCTTAACATAAAGTAAGCAGACTCTTGACCCAGAGMCTCATATGATTTACGTATGGTTTTATTTAACYCATACCGGCTGATCTCMAATGCCAAATTCCTCGATGTCTAGAAAATTAATAACTGTCAACGCTCTTGCATAACTCACCYTAAATGCTTCTTTCTGGTCAAAAGGACAACTCGAATCTCATGCCCTCAATAAAAATAAAACATGTTTTGATATCAAAGGCCAACATGCGGTGGACTCCTGGGTGGATTGGCGGCAATATGCCCTGTTTCTTTCTCAATGTATTTTAACTTTTCTTTTCGACCGAGAAAGTGATTGAATATTTAATCTGTGTGGATGGAAGTACTCTCTGTTGTCATCAGTTTCTAAGGGTGTGTAACCATRGGATTTGCAGTGGTAAGCGATGATATCAGCTATTTGGGCTGGTTACCACCTTATATYGAAGAAAATAAACCACTGAAACTTCAAACGACCGCCATGATTGATGCATTGCATGGACTAGAACAATAACATGCTGCCGAGGTCATTCTACGACTGCTTTCAACTGAGACATCCAAACGTCCAAAAATGTAATTGAATTGTGTATTTCAGCAAAGATCAGTTGCAATTTCTATATTTTTTTATCGATTATAGATTCCTGAAATCTTTAAACAACAGTCTCTAACGATAATTGTCTTGTCTGTGTAGCAAAACTATTTCATCTAATAAAACACCGATTTACACTGAAAATAAAATCATTAAGATAAATCAACCAACCTAAGATAAAAAATAACTCAATACTTTTAGTTACTTGTGGAAATTTCCTCAGTACAAATTATTCGTAGATTGTGCAGTATTTCACCGCCCTATGTTGCTATATCTATTTCATTTGGGCGTAGTCACTCGTGACAAATGAATATATATATTTATTAACTGTGTTTATGGTTACAAACAAATACTCCTTGCGCTCCACCCAGTTATTTTTAGGTGAGCTTCGATCTATTTACCATTTCTTGAAGATAACTTTGTCTTTCGTGTATCAAAAACTGAAATCAAACTCCTCAACRAAAAGGGCACACACGGGRTCTTGATCTAATTTATCATTATCATTTTTGTCRGATCAATATGGAGTTTGCTAGGGATGCTATTCTAAGCCTCTGACCCTTACACAATGAAGAGTATARTGTTGCCTTTTGTTGCACATCCGAAAACGCTTGAGGATGGGATGTGTCCAAACTGACGCASCAGAGCCATACTTGATATAACATTCCTCGGTCGATACCGGGTTAGGTTTTCTATATTTAGAAGGATAGGATGAAAGCAGAGAAGAATGAGAATTTATGGACGGGAAACACCTTGTAATTTGAAGAGTAAGTAAATGAGAATATTTGGAAATATTGGTTTCTGTAAACGTGTCAACATTTTGGTCACCATTCCGCAAATTTTCCATGTAAAGCGCGTTTTATTGAGTTTCATGAATAGATGCTCCATTATGAGAACAGCAATATATCTTTTGAGAGATACCTGTGAGTTTGCAGCGTAAATTAGTGTGTAAGCTAACGACTGTAAAGCAGATTCAACTTAATAGTGATGTACAATTCACTTGAAATTGGCGATGAAATGATTCAAGTCGTGTACAAGCTCATGGTGTAATCTTTAAACCCTTAATTTATTGTCTTTTTGTTTAGATTTGCGCTCGATATTCTCTATAAAAGCGATCAGCAGAGTCTGTTTWCTTATACCTCATTAATTGATTTATTAGACTCAGATAAAAACATTATTTTGACATGAAGTGTGTTTGTGTRTGCTTTACATCGGTATGAAGTTCCACTTCAGCTGTCCAAGGACGCAGGAAAGGCAATCAATTCACAATGTAAAAAAACTCCTCCTGGACTCCTTCAAGTTAATGGTGAAAGTGAACCTCGGTTAAATGATTACATACACACCCTTGCAGCTTGTGACTAAAGGTCTTCCAGCCATCAGACATATAAAAATCAATTAGTTTCACTACCTAATTGTAGACATTTAGATTGTGTGATCRCTTGTCTTAACCTGACACTCTTCCGTCTGGAGTCGGCTTAGCTAACAGGGTCACCTCTCTTTCCCCTTTAATTAACCCTTTCTGTTCTCGATTCTACTGCGTCTTTTCTCATTAGAYTCTGGTTTAACTACGGAGTGCTCAATAGAACACACCTTCAGAGTTTCAGTTGTACACTTTTGAGAACATTTTTAGGAGTGAAAACGCGCTAATCCGACTGTTAATTGCTGAGATATTGTCTTTCTTCCTTGATGAAAAGCAAATGAAATCTTCCGTGACGTCTTCAGGATTTCACAATTTATAATAAATTCATCATGACGGCTTTTCACTTATTTTTCTATTGTAATCGGTGGGGGAGATGGCMATCAATCGATACACGCGCGCGAACGGAGATAAATTCGGTGAGTCAATRGTGACAACCCGGTTCTTTGCTTACCGCACGTWACCGCACGTAACCGCACGTTACCGCAAGACTACCAAACCACTGATGTAAGCCGCAGCACCTTCAGTTTGGAAACAAAACACTTTAATTGAGTGTATTGAATAATATATTGTATAACAAACACATAATATTTACTTTTTGCGTACAATATAACAAAACAAAATATCGAAATGACATATTATACACTTGAGTTGATTTCGACTTGGAGAATGCTTCATCTTTAGCCGTTTCAAACATAAAAGATATTATTATAGTTTATATTCTGGTTTATCTAGTAAATGTTGATTATACAATGAGTCATAATGATAGATAGGTAGATAAGTCTAGGTACGATGTACACTCAACTGAAATATCCCTTTACAATGGATCGGTATTCATATTGTGTCTTTTCTTTGTACAAAACTAATACATCGAACGCGCTGTTTCTTGTTGAAGTTATTGTCATTCTATACATACAATCTGGTATATAATCTACCAAAAACTACATTGTAAAGTTATTACTTCATATCTAACATTTGCGCAATTACCAAACTRTCCAGTTCTAGTCGCGTCCTTCGTATTCATCGCCAGAATTTGTTTACGCGCAACTGATTGTACGCAAGCATAAAAGCTTGATGACTGTAGAGTTTGGATTGAAATACAAACAGAATTTCTGTAGTACATTATATAGAAATTGCTATAAACCCACATCTATTTCAAATAGTTTTTGACATTGGTTTGTGTTTAGTTATATTTTTTAACGCTTTTTCAGCAATTAATCGTACAATGCGCACTAACTAGGCCTTCGTTCAGGCAATATGGAAGCTAYTTTTCTTCAAACCTATTTCAGACATCTGAATATCAGATTGCATGCGTTAAACCAAACTAGCTCTTATCGTCAAGAAGYATCTCCTCAAAAACGCTTACTYCATCRATAGAATACTCATGTTGTTTGGTCTTCTAAGAAACGGAACTTTTCACTGTTTAATGTACATGCATTTTTGGTTTTTCTTTATCTAAWGTACACCGGGCTCAATAAGGAATTCTCGATGTATGCGGCCGACCTCTGAATGAAGATTTAGCTTTGACAAAATGGTTCCCATTGATATCAAATTGCAATGAAGTGGAGTTTGAATCAAATCACACCCTTTATTTGGTAGAATCATCCTGGTCAGAGTATAAGAAATGTTGATTAGCTACAATCTTTGAACACAACACCTTCTAGTCCTTATCCAGGCTCAAACCTAAACTGTGCCGCTAAATAGCTGTGTACATGAAGTATTACAGGAATGCCTTCTCGGAGGCCATCCATTTGATGGAATTCTGTGATGATGTTTTCTGCTAGCATTCATTTAATCGCCAAATAGGGTCATCGAAGTGATTTCGATCCACGCTAATGTAGTAAATCGGACGCAAAATGAAGATTTTTAGGCAAACGACTGCCTAAATGAAAACATATTTGATGCGAGATTGTTAAGTGTCTGGCATAAAAGTACAATTATGATTGGCGACGCATTTACTGAAGTGCTTGTGTTAATAAATTAGGTTCTATGTTGGACACCTTAAGGTGCGAGTTCTAATCGCTCAAGGCGCCAAAACCGGAGACAAATATTGTTCATTGGTACCAATTAAACAATTTCAGTACTAGAGAAAYGTGTCACACTGTTTAAAGTAAGTTAAAACATTGAAAAGTMTCTTAACGCTACGTCGACAAGATGGATATTGTGGTTTAGTTTGTAGTTCGATAGAATTGTGGAAACACTGGTATTATGTGTGCCCACAAATGATAAATTCCCTGCTCCTTCCCTACGACCAGAAAAACATTGTATTCCTTTCATTGTTTAATACAAAATTTAAGTTAAAAAGTTATGATCTASAACGAAATGCATGCAATGAACAAACCTTTACGACTTATCATGACAAAACAGAGCAACCGTACTTGAAACATTATCAAAACAAAGTTATTTCAAATATCCACTGACGGATCTTGTCGAATTCTACTTAGCCTTGAACTACATATCTTATTGACGAAATAAATAACATCAAATAGACTTTATACAATAACACGAGGACTAGTCGAGGAAAACTAGCGTCAGTGAGTCTTCTTCAGCGGGATTAGAGGTCGGATTATAATGAGTACATGCGGTGTCCAAGTTATCCGCGCTAACAAGACTGAAAATCTTCTCGTGTAAACATTCAACTCAACAAGTGACTAAGATCTCACTTGCTATTCGCTTGATAAACTGTCCATTCAACAGCTAAAGGTTTGAGTTATGTACAGTTATATCCCCTAASAATAAGGATGGYTATACCCAAGAGAMGGAACTCTAGGAAGACGCGGTAAKGAAAGGAAATCAATGTTCGCATTTGAAATACTTGGTAAAGACTGTTGTTCCTTGAGCTTTTCGTCCTTTTTCCATTTCATTCTTCGGTTTTGAAACCATATTTTAACTTGTCGTTCAGAGAGATCGAGCGTCTTGGAGATTTCTCTACGTCGTGTTGTACAAAGGTAGCGACTAAAATGGAACTCTTTTTCCAACTCTAGAAGTTGTTTGTTGGTGTAACTAGTGCGATGTCGTTTTGAGCTTTGAACTGCAAAAGAATAAACGTGTTTTGAGTATGTTTTCAGAGACTATATTACATGGCATTGAGTTAAAAGACATGGGATTTCACACTTGAAGTGTGCGCTCAATTATAAATAGCATTGTCTTACTCTGCCTCAAACAGTGCAAGACACTTAACAATGCGTTTATATGAGTACAAACTGTCTTATTAGAGTTGTTGTTTCAAACATAAAATCAACTTCTCATCTAAGGATCAAGAGTTTGCAGTATAAAAGACATTTAGAAGGTCTAAAGTTAGTCTTATGCCTCGCGCTAGAATGAAGTAGCAGAGTTTTTCATACAATATATTGATTCCGTATTGCTACAAATTACATAAACTCACTTACTTTTATAAAACTACTTTAGTTCAGTTTAAATACTCAACTTTAAAATTCAGGCAAAGCTTAATTGTTAAGACGTTTTAGAATTTAAGAACTGAAATCATAAATCATTCTACTCGACACTGGCCCGCCAGAAATGACAGCCAAACTGTGCGAACTGTCATAAGAACCGATAGCCAAACAAACTCGCGTTACTTTAAGATATATAAAACGAAATAAGTGCCAGGAATAATGATACTATAAACATAGATTGGGAAATATAACTGAGATGTCCGCGCCCCCCAATCAGTTCACTAAACTAAGAAAAAGAATAAGAGAAACATTCTAAAATGGGACAGGTAACATACCAAAGTGAGTAGCATCTCCTTTCTTAGGTTTCATCCATGAATACATAGGTTCTAGTAAGTACTCTTGAATCCTTACAGAACTTAAGAAATCTGACTTATTACTGGAGTGTTGTGATGGTCCAGTGTCTCGATCAAGTGCACCAATGCTTTGATAACATTCTCGATAACTTTTGCCCTGTCCAAACTGACAGTCACTATTACTGGAGGGTAACTGAGATGAACAAGGTTGATGCATTTCAGAGTTTGCATAAGATGTCGAGAGCTCCATGTTTGTCGGGTATGATTTATAGTTAGCTGACATCTTATCCTCAGCATGGTGATTTATGAGAAAACACCGTAAATAAGGCATATCACGTGATCCTCTGCGATCAATCAGAAGGCGTTCTAGGATCATGACCTCGCCTTTTGACGAAACAAAAATTTATTGTGTAACAATCTTAATTTCGTACACTTTAACGAAAATAGCCGATTACTGATGGATTTTAGGTGGAATTGATGCTAGAAATACGTATATTAGCAAGCCAACCCCTTCAATGGTATTCAAATACCTCACAAGCAGAGCTTTAACTTACAACATTAGAATAGCAAGGTTTGGTACTTATCCGGTTCCGATTTAATTAAAGACAAACTACTCGAAAAAAACTGACCCTATTTAACCCTCTGTAAGGCTATATATTACTGTTTTTAAGGCTCTGATCTTTTTGAGCCAAAGGCCAACTTGACCGTCTTGATTAATGACGCACCGATAGAAAGAAACGAGACCTTCCACCGGATAACGACACCCCGCCTAGTATACCGATACGTGACGTAACATGTCGGTTTTGATTGGCTTATTGAAATTCCTARCTAGTTGTTAGTAGCCACGATGGCGCCGACCTTAGTTTCTTACGAAAAATGAAGATTAATGACCTGCCACGATAGATGGTCGGTGGGTAAAATCAAGAACAGATAAACACGAGAATATCAAAGGTCGCATTTTTGCCAGCCTGTTAATACTTACTGCTGATAGTGATGCTAGAATATTTTGTTTCTGATATAAGTTTATACAATTCTTTAATAAAAAATTTTATTTATGATTATTTAAGCACGAAGTCCAGTRTGCAATACTCCAGACTCGGAAATAAAGTATTACTTTACAAAATATGGTTTTAGCCAAAAATAACAGCACTTSTGTRCAGCCGGWGAGTTGGTTAGAAATATGCTTAGGGTCCATGGAGGAATTGTCTTCCTGTCAAACCTTATTGGCAGTGATTGATGCCAATTGGAACAAATGAAATTACACTTGAAAAATTCCAAAAAAGTTAATAACTTACTCTAGAATAAARATATTAAATGCTTCTTAGTTTCTCAAGGTACACAGAATTGTTTAATTCGAGACAAGGAAAGTAGGTTTCTGTATGACAGTTCTTGCATGAAACTCTCACTGCCGCGCTAATAAAAAAAATGCGTGATTATTAATTTATAGATAATTCTACTAACCTTAAAAATTGTGTATCTGTACATGTCCTAATATGAATATCAATGTTAATGGTCCAAAGAACGTACTATTCTCCCATTATTGATCACCATCATTACTTTAAAATAGCTCTCCTCCAGGCACAGGCACTTCTTAACAAGACACTCCTTATATATATGCACAAATCATTCTTGAAGTTGAGCAAAGATAAAATTTTAACTTGTAGAACTTCCATTTTCGACACAAGAACTTTCTGTATTCAAATGTAAACTGCGATATTTCTCGACAAAAAAGCATTTTCTGTTGAACTTGACCATTTACCCCCAAAAGGCACAATGTTTTCCGTGGTGTGATCCCAGAGAGCGACACCAAATAATTGTTTTCTTTGAAGATTGCAGGTTRTTGAGCATATTAGGTTTTTCTAGTATAGTTAGACGTCTTTAGTGTACTAGTTTTGACCATAGCGAAGCAGGATAAATTGAACTCTCATTGACACTCATTTCTGTGACATTTATCACCATTTCAGTAGGAAGATCTGAGGTTAAATGGGTTGATTAGTGATAGTCTTCCATGAATCCAACACTAAACGTACTTATTTAAGACCATATTAACCCACTTTGAAGCTTATGTCTTGCATTTGGATGAACCATATTCATGTGAATCTCAGCACTGATCATGTACAACACCCTTATCTCTACCCTGAGGTCCCACAGTAGTTGTGGGTCAGTAGTTGTGGGTGGATCTAATAAAGAGTGCTGCTATTAAATGAGGATATAGGTTATACACAACTTATAAGCCACCATACCACGTGACCATGACGTCATGAGAAATCAGCTTTGCTATTGGCTAGTGTACAACGATGCCTTGTTTCATTGGGTCCCTCCTTTGAAARCAAACAATGAGAAAGTTAGAAACCTTTGAACAGGAAACCATTAAATCTATTTTGATGACACTAATTAATTTCAACTGGATTCCGAAATATGCGTAGATATTTTTTGTAATTTTTTGGGCTTTTCAATGTCTGTTATTTTGCTATGTACCATTTTAGTCTAGCACCAAGAATTAAGGCGTTTTTACAGGTGTTGCGCAGCTACTAAAGGCCACAAATCTTTTTTTTGTTGTCATTTTTCAGTGCGACAAAGCAACGTCAAAAAGAGTTGTGCTTAGGCATGCCGCGACTTTCTTAWAAATGTTTATGATTATGAACATTAGATTTCAGAACCACTGAGAGTCCACTTTTGCATTTTGATGTGTATATTTATTAGTAAGCTTTAAGTTAAATACACTTGCAAATTGATCAACGCAGGCGTTGTTTAGATTCACTGATATTACTGACCCTTGCAAAGATGGTTTAAGTAATGAGTACATAATGGTTATCAAACGCCTGATTTTCGTCTGCAACAACAGTGTCTGGCTTATTAGGTCTCGTTCACTATGATGCGATTTCGTAGCGTTTTTCGGTACTGTTCTTTTTATCCTTGAGGTACTGGAAAAGCAATACAAAAACGKTGCTAACACACAGCGACGTCATAGCATAGTTTTCATCCATTCTGGTTCATTTTTTGTCTTGTGAGGACGCAGTTTTTGATGCTAATCAACCTTCAGGAAGTCTCTAACAGCTACTGTTCACTCGTTTAAGCTAAAGAACCACTTACTTTTATCAAATACCGCAAAACATGACTTTATCAAAGTGGGTCTTCCGTTGTGTCTGTGAAAAAAAGAAGACTATAAGTGCTGGCTGATAAAGAGCGCCAAAAACATTGAGTCTCATATCTAACTCACAATTGGTCACTATTAGTTTCTTGTCTGTTTTATTGGCAACCAAACGATAGAAAACGACTTCGATTTTCTCACWGAATTATTGCTCGATCGTAGATGAGGAATAAGTGTGTCTTATCGATCAATCTTACCCACTCAGAGCTCATTATCATCAAGAATCYAACGCCTTATGTAAAGATTATGGCTATCTTACGGTAACCTGAAAAGGGCATATCGCCAGTAAATCACAATGGTCTAAGTACTCCTCATTAATTAGGGCTGGAACGTTTTCCAGATTATTTCTGACAGGAAATTTGATCATAGTCTGGACGAATATTTTTACCTGGACGGCATAGGGAATGAAAACAGCTTGATTTACAAAAGGTTTTGATTGAATCTTTCAGGTTTTGTTACTGGTACACAATATGAAAGCCAACTAGCTAAAAATACTTAGATGAGAACTATTTGCGTCTGAATTTGTAACAAATTAAACAGCTGTAGCGCGGATAATAATGACTCTGAACACTGAGCAGGAAAATAAACAATAACAACAACAACAACAACAACAACAACAACTGCACCAGTAACAATAACAACAAAACAACAATAGCAGCATCGATGGCAACACACATAACCTAAGTAAGGTTAACACGCTAGCTTTCGCCGTCAATAACAGCCATTGACAATAAAAGTTTGACGAAATCACTATTCAACATGTTCTATACTATTTTTCAGATATTGCAGCACAAACTCTGCCACAACAAGAAATAGTTTCATTTCAAAAAGTCGTCGCAGGCTTGTATTCAACTTGGCCAGTTTAACACATTTTAATACTCTAAAAGCCATCCGTTATAACCCCGAAAACCTTGTCTATTAATGGATCCTTGATATGATTAGAAGCGAAGAGAGAAGAGGTCAACCTTTCAAAGTAAAAGATGCGGTAGAGACGATGTGAACGACCTCCCACGCTCCGGGCTTTTCTAAGCACCGACTGGCCTTACATGACAATCTCCCCAGTCTCCCGTGTCCTGAAACAGATTCAACATGGCTGCCGTCGTCTACGTCTAGTTGTCACTTCGAATTATGCTTTCATCTGCGCTTGCGCTTGCGTCGACATAATGAATTTAGGATATTGTCATGGTGACCATGCATCGTCATTTTCCTGGTCCCTTTATTTCAAATATTTACTGATTGAAATAAGAACAATCAGTGGATATTTGAAATTGAGGGACCAAGGAGTAGTGCTCAAACTGGCCATCATCATTATATGATTGATAGTTTGTTTAAATGCAACATTCAAAATATGAAAAAATACATTGAAAATATGGAAAAATAAATGAAATATTTAATGAAGTAGCTGGTTTTGTTTATTTGTGGTTTTATCAGTATTTATTTCATTTTTCTATTGTTTTGTTTTTCACATCAATTGTTTATTTATTCTTTTTTCTAATATTTCAGAGTGCAGCATTAGAACTGATCATTGCGAAAGTATTAMACAATTATAATATGGAGACAAGAACCAAGTCACTTGGTAATAAACTCTCTTTTTTGATTTAAAATCAAGAAATATACTCCTTCAARTACATAAATTATTAGATATATGTCKATAGATTCGGTACTCAGAACAGATTATGCACGAATTGCGAGAACAACAGAATCAACAGTCAAACTACACACGTTACAGATATAAAGYACCTAATAATTGACAATAAAAAGAAGAAAACAAAAAACATGAAAAAGGAAGGCTTCRAAACGTACTCCTTGTTTACAAACGAAAATACATCGCGCAACTTATGGAAAATGTTGTTGTTGGTCCGCCATGATTGATACATCAATGACTTCAAGTTCTATCAGTGTCAAAAATAGTTTTCTTTCTTGTTCTATTTCCATAGTTTTAAGTAGGAATAGTTTGTTTTAGGTACAACTAGCGCTGATGCCTCTTTTTCTGATGGTTTTTTTTCAAATAGTTTCAAAACAATATTCTCCGCGGATACGAAGCAAATGCAGAATCTTGATCTCGACTCAATATGGCGGTAAGCATGATCTATCTACAGCAAAGATCAGCCATGAACTTAATTAAATCGGCAATRTCAGAAAACCTACACCAAGTATATTTATATAATTACATAATGAAGCTGGAATTTACGCCAAAATTTGTAATAAGATTATTTAGTATTGTTATRTTTTTTTGGCGACCATCTTTCGAGTTTGCAAAATGACGTGTCAATCATTCTATTCAGTAGTATTCACACTTTAAGAGGTAAACAAGTTTAAAAAATCATATCATAATATATTCTCTGATATTGATAGAGATTCTGCTCTCTTTCGATAAATATTTGCATCATTATTATAAATTGAATTATAAAATAGCACAAGCAAGACAAGAAAACTGGCGTTTATTAACAGACAGAATCAAATACTGTTGAGTTACAAAAAGAGTCCACATGACTTCAGAGGTCCACATTGTTACTCAGATGGTTTTATTTTATATGGAGTTTAATATATTTTGTCCTATTTTATTGATTTTATGAATGGTTGATTAGTCATGAAAATATTTGACCAAAACCTTGGAGTCTTTGTGCACGCTTTCAAACTTTCTTTCAGCGCGATTTGTTCGGTAGTTTTGGTYTTTCAAGGCGGCCATTTTGTGATTYGCGCCGCTCGCATTCAGTTAATGTTCAGTAAATTCCAAAYCCTTCAAAAWTKAGAATGAAATCTKGTTACTTTATTTCAAACGCTAAACCTCTTTCCTGTTAAACTGATAAAAGCCGGAATACTATTTTTGACAAAAATAAAACTAATTTCGTGATGTGCGAAGGAATGTATTCGTACGTGGCATCCATGTACAAGAGAACTTTGTTCAGACATACATCAGTGTTGATCACATTTTTGTGCTGTTTTGTTATATTCGACAAGTTTTTCTCGCAGATTTGCATTCAGTGTTAAGCACTAGACCTTTTAAATCTCAATAGGAAATAAAAAGGCGATCATTTTTTGGATTAATTAATTTTGCATACAGCCGGACAGTCTTGAGCATCTCCGGATGTTCGCTAAGCCATCAGGGAACCTTCCTCAGAACTAGAACTTGCTCTTGAAAAATTCASAACAAAAGCATTCAGTTGAGCATTATATTTATTTCTAACAAAAAGAACGAATAATAGTGATGATATTTATSGCTGAAACTTCACGTTCATGAGTACGTAATTAGGTAACTTTGTACCAATCCATAATTTKATATATATGTCCATGAAGGATATATTAAAGCTTGAGTCAGTGTATTTGACCTCGAAGACTTCCTAGTCGACTGTTAGAAACATACGAAGGCTGCCTTTGATACGGACTATTTGTCTGTAAGGATGGTCCGCGATRAAACGAAGGTAACCCAGGTAGTCTGGGAAGAGTTCTAAACGATTGCTCGAAGAAAATGTCCTCTTCGTTTTCATTATCTTCATCATCTTCTTCTTCTTCTTCCTGATAAATTGCACCGTTTTGAAGTCTCTGGCTTTGAATGGTTTTCTCTTTTTCATCTTTTTTCCATTTCATTCGACGATTTTGAAACCACACTTTGACTTGCCGCTCGCTAAGATTCATAGATTTTGCAATTTCATGTCTTCTTGTACTACAAAGATAGCGATTAAAGTGAAACTCTTTCTCCAATTCAAGCAACTGCTTGTTGTTGTAGCTTGTTCGATGTCTCTTGACGTTTTTTCTTCCTGAAAAAGAAGTATTTAAACTAAGAAATACAATCTAAGAGATACATAAACAAATATTTCAAGACCAAAAGTAGTAAAAATGAAGTTTGTTGACACTCACTTGCTCAAGAAAACTCCTTAACTGACATCTTTTACAGGGCGATAAAAATGTTCACTTTGTTAGCAATCGGCACCAATCAAAAAGGCGCTATTTTTCACACGTTTTTATTTTACTGTCGAATTACAGCTGACAAGACTTGAAATTAGCGGTCATGACTGTTGTATACCGTGACATCTTTTTCTTGACGCTATTTTGGAATTTTTGGCAGTACAAGAAAGTTCAACAYTGTTAACCCAAATTTGCCCTTTGGCTCTCACAACTCATCTGAATGCCCTGGAATCATCGTCAGATCTGCCTCCCTTTTTCAATTATCTTGGTTTTCACGTCAGAACAAGAATTTCACGAAAGCTAAAGGTGAATTTACCTTACGAAAGTTGCGCGGGCGCGCTCCAAAACTTGCCATAACTGTTCAACAATCTCGTCTAAAAAGTAGCATTTTAGGCATTGGAAAGCATTTTGCGAGAAAAAGGGAAGCTTTTGGAGTTTCATAGAATTGTTCTTCGTAAAATGCAGCATTTTTTGAAATTTCTGTAAGTTTTGTACTTCTTGTAAAGAGAGAAGCAATCGAACAGTGTGTAGCTTCAGTCAGGTCACCGTGCCTACCCGCCAGAAAGATCGACTATTTACGAAGCATATTCTAAACTGACTGCTATAAARTTCTACGTGCTCAACAAAAAAACAAAATCAAAGAAATTGAAAGTATTAAAGGATACGATTGACTGCAATGAGGTTAGTTCTCGTCGAAATAYYGACRCTCCTGAGATGTCTTAACGTYCTTGGAGTCACTACGGCGTCAGGAGAGAGTTACCCAACAAATGCCTCAGCAAGATTCGCGTTATTCTAGCAGTCTTATTTAATATCAACGAAACAATTAATCATCTGTAGTCCAGCTAACGGAGTGACATTGTCATAAAAGCAAGCTTTAGCATGTCAACAGAGGCTTACTGGAGCCATCCTACCAAGGCTTAGTAAATGTCACTTGCCCGACATGATTATTAACGATGTTTTTGAAAAGCACTAGACTAAACRGTGATCAAGGATCGGAATTTTAACACAAATTTCAAAAATACCGAATGTCATGTTTCATTAGGAAAAAGGGTCACCCTTAACGACTTTTCTTGAGTCTAGTGGGTGTCAACTTGGTCTTAAAAACCCTTGACTTTATAAGCAGTAAAAATTGATGATGTAACAACAATAGCTTACCATTTTTCAGTGGACCAGTTTGTTTTGACCTCATCCATGGGTAAATAGGTTGAAGGAGGTAGTTGTGGACTTGGGGAGTGAAGCTCCCGTTGTTCCAGTCTTGGACACCCCTGCAGTTTGGCGATACAACACTCGAAGGTGTAGAAATAAAAAAGGGCTGCTCTTGTTGCTGTGGAATTCTTAATGAGTTAAAGCGATAGTCACAAGATCTGGATGATGACACGGATTGTTGRTAAAGGATTTCTGGAGTCGGATATGAAAAGTCCATGATTATCTCGCGAACTTGATTTATGGCTCATTGACACCGACCAACGCCGTCATAGTAGAACAAACATCAATCATGTGACAAAAACAACCAATGACAAACAAGAAAGACATCAATGGTGATGAAATATTGGGAAAAAAGCAAGTGAAAGGCATGAAATAGTCTAAAATGTATCAAAGTGTTATGTTTATGGGAATAGAATGGAAAATGGATTAATGTGTCAAGTAGCGGTTTTCCTTTTCAAAACATTTATCACATCAAGGCGACAACAGTGCTATCAACTTCTTCAACTGACCCCTACACGATGGACATCATATTTAGGAGACTTTTAAAGTCACTTGATTCAAAAGATACCATGGTAAGGTAGTTTGACCTTGTCTATTGTATTGATTAGTAAACGAGACGGATGATTTATGACTGGAGCGGGAATCCAGCCAGGATGAGACAAGCATCATTGTATCGCATTACCTTWACTGCAACCTGATTGGCTGATACATGAATATCGTGAATTTTTGTGGGGAAACGAAGACTATGTTAATAGASCATTAGGTCTTGCCGCTGTCCATGATTAATGACCTGCCACAACAGAATGGTTTCTTACTGATTCAATAACATCCAWCACCGAAAGGGATGGACATTTATTATAATGGATAGCATTTTTTTTCTTATCAGTCGAGACAATAATTAATCCATGAAAATTAAAAGCTATTATAGYTATCGTTTTGAGATTAAATGTAGGAAATGTGTATTGGACGCAGTGTSGTTGATATTTCTAGCGAGCGTGTTATGGACCGAGGTTTTTACCACTGACTTGTAACAACAGTTTGCTTTGAACTGGCACCGGAGTCCATACGGGCATGTACGGCGATCCTCATTACAACCAATCAGGTTTCGCGTTATATAAACGTACTGTATACTATGTTTGTCTATGGAAGAAAGTCAGCACTGACGAAAGTCATAAGCTATCAATGAAGTTCTCCGGTTATTGTTCAGTATTTTTAAATCCTTTTTTACTCAGGCATTTCTTTTTAATAAAGATACATTTGTCGAAGGCTGTCGATCAATCGTTTATATCGATACTTCAGTGTGCGACAATTTTCTCAGCTTTTCTCGTTGCACTATGACGTCACAGCGAGTGCACGTACSCATGCGCAAAGCTAGTATCTCTCATTCAAACATGATCGTATAAAATTCACTAAAATCCTATACTAGGTTGAAGGAATAAAAGGCGCACAAGCTTGTTTTGTCGAGTTTAAAACAGGCAGAACACGATAGAGGTTTTTTAGAGCTCGATAAAGCACAACGATTACTGGAGTTATTTCATCTTGACTGGAAATGACAAGAAAAAACTCCACAGACGAATCTCAATGTCAAAATTTTAAAAATGCATTGTTTGTAAGCTTTAGAAGCATTTTAGGAAATCCCTCTTACCAAACTTTACAATTCAAAGAGCGCATTCATCTTTTAACTTCCGGGAAAACTACCACATGCTATAYAGACCTTMCAGCGGGTGGGTACCCTTTGTTTACAGACACCTTGTTATGACCTCCCTACGAGCGTTAAGCTACATTTCCATAACAGACGCCTCTCTCCCCTCTCTTTCACTTCTCAGTTTAAAGACACCTCAGCCGCAATGAGATTTTAGTACTTCGTTTCATAGTAACATACCTTATTGTAATTCTTTGTATTCAAACATCTTGGTGTTTTGAAGGCAAGTATATATAGCCAGCATGCTACTTGCACACCATTTTCATACGTAACGCACTTTTATCGGCCTCATTTCCCATGGATTAAATGATACTTGTGTTGCAAATATCTTATTGAACATTGTTGATTTTCCAGGTAGAATAATATTTGGTTTSGAAAACACATGAAGTAAGCTTTCCAGACCTATGAAAGACAGAATCAGTTAGAAAAATCACAGATCACAAAACATTCAATTAATTTCATAAATGCAAAGTGAAACAAGTGTGTCTAAAGGCATTAAAGATGTTATCCTTATAATTGGACGTGTTATATTATTTTTATTTATATCCTATATTATCTATATTTATATTCTGCTTTTAGATGCGAAAAATAAACTAAAAAAGCTTGAAAATCAGTGTAGYCATTGGGCACCCAACACTGGATTAAAATGCTAATTTTGCCAAAAAGCTGAATCGTCGTATGGATTTACACTAAGGCAGGATGTTTCGCGCGCACCTTAGCTGAAATAGCAGAGGGCATTGCATTGTGGTATAGAAACATGGCGTTCTTTGTAGTGAAGCTATACCACAATGCAAGAGACTGCTGTCAGTTTCACAGTCGGCAAATGGGGAGGCTCGGATCCTAGACCACAATTAAACGCACTTTCACTTGACCAACATGACGTCACCCTAGAGCGCATTACAGACTCGTTACCAGTCGCTTCTCTTCAGTGCTYTTGTAACCACTGGGAACGAGTGTGACATCACTAGTGAAAATCGATATTCATCTGTCATCATTATCATCGTCACAAGCCGCGATTGATCATAAAAAACATGTACGCAATTTTAAGGCGAATCGACTGAGTAATGACTTTGACGCACCGTCGTTGTTTGACTATGAACATTTTATAACGCCTTGGTATTTTTTTTTAATCTCATTTTTGGACGAGTCGATTTTACTTCACTGAGTTTAAAAGAATTTTGTGAAAGTATTTTTTTAATTAAACGAGTTTGAACATTTGTACCGTCAAAAACATGTATTTTCAAATATTTAATTTATTGAATCAAAAACGTCATGCATGGGTCAAAGCTTTCTTCTAGATCATTTTATTAACTCTTTAATTTTCCAGTGTGCAAAAAAGAACAGAAGCTGCACAATTTTGAGAAACAAACATTTCCGCCTTTTTGGTTGAGCTTCTCTTTGGAATTTCAAGTATCTTTATTCAAATCGCAAAAAAAATCTTCATTCCATTGTTAAATCGAGCCTCAACTTTTTTTAGATAGTGTAAATTTATTACTCCTGTTTCCGTGACAAATATAATTTAGTGAGATAGTGAAAAATAGTTTTCAATGGAAAACGTTTATGCCGCTTTATTTCAGTATCTCCGTTACTTTGCTCAGGTCAAATTAATTGTTATTTCCACTAAAATAAAATTAATTATACTGAAAAACTCACAGGCCAAATTCTTTATATTCTAGTTTTTTTCTTTGCCTCGCTGTTAGCAGCTAAATGCATMAAATAGTTGACCACAGCTTACATTTTCCCGCGTTTACTTAATCTCATTTCTGTTCTTAGTGATAACATAAAAACCACATCATTATTACAAAACTCACTACAAAAATAACAACAGTAACTAGAAGATGACACATACTTACCAAATGGAACAGTACGACGTGGAAATCATCGACRGACGTAGACACGAAGGCGCGCCCGATTTTTAACACCATGTTCCGTTTTTGTAGCAGCYTTAGGAATATCAGTAAAGGGCTATAGTYTAAAATAAACGCCAGAAAATARCTATTTTAGSTAATGAGCAGTCGACGCTACTAATTCTTGGTGTGTATGTAGCAAGGTATGATCAAACAGGGCCTTGTATACTAGCCGAGGTCAATCAGAAATCATAAATCAAAACTCCGCGGACAGCGGTCGTATAATGTTGCACGTCACGGACAAAGCTGGTAAATCTCTTCTCGTACACGGAAAATCTAACAAAAATTAAAGCAAAAAAATTTTATTATATAAAAAAGGAAAGTTATATAACTTTTAAATCAAATAAGGTTTATTTAAAGTATATTTAAGTTTATGTTCCATCAAGTTTCAGAAAATCGGTTCTGCCCACCCATCGATTCAGCTGTCGAACAAACTATGCATCGAATGATTTATAATTTCTAGTATTCTTATCAACTTTGCCAGGGATCTTTCATCTCAGTTTCACAACAAAAGTGCATGACAGAAGAGAATTAAAAAGTTTGGAAAGTCTTGTCGATGTTGACAAAGACGCCGATGAGACAATGCTATGAGATGCTTGATGGAGCTATCTTACTGAAGTGGTACAACAAACTGAGCATGGAAGAAGGCTACGCTCGTCTTAGTACAACTCGTTCTCATCGCCAATTTTAACAGTGCATTTTGATTAAGTGTTTTGCCTCTGGCTGCTGATACAGATTCAATACAATACAGTACAAGAGAATTTGTTGATGTTGTCTCACAGAAAGAAGCCTGATGTTCCCCTGTCTGACAAACCTTGAGCTTTATTCAAATAAAAATGACAGCAAAAAATAAAACAACAGCCAAAGTGTGAAACCTTATAGCATACTTGACATGAAACCGTGATTCAAGCGATGTTTTTGGCATTCGTCGTGCAGCGTCAGTCAAATTGACATATTTAAGACATAAAATATGATTTAAGACCGCTAGTACTGCCCTTTTTGGGGTTAACCCTTCTTGATTGAAACTCACTTGCTTGAGCACTTAACTAGGTATAAAGCTAGAGATTTTTCATCATGATAGATGGAATTATGAACTTTGTAAGTAAACATAAGCTCAATTATTGTGACTTCAAAGAGAAAAGACTTCAAGCCTTCCACCGGGTTAAGGTACAACATTGCATGACCATAACTATATACTCCTAGAGAGCTGTAGATCTATTTCAAAGAAAATTCCTATTATAGAATTATGGTTTAAGAAAGAATTGATGGAATAATAATGCGCACACATTTTACGACTTTGATCCAATTTTTATCGTATAGAGGCACTAATTGAATTAATTTAATTCAGCTAGACAAGTCCGTGGCTAATTAGTCACTTTTCAAACAAACATGTACTGGGCTAAATATAAGTTAACTTTTAAATACAAGAACGYAGAGGAATTATACCGTTTAACATAACTTACTTGTGTAATGTAGCTTGTAAAAGAAGTATGCTGAGATGTTTTTTCTCCGCGGTTTACATACGATCATTTGGTTTCCTCTTTTCGAGAAGCGTTTCAAAATTATGCTCTTTAAAATTGTTGGTTCTAATTTTGTGTTCTACCGGATTAAGCTTATGAAGGGATAATGTAATTTTTTTTAATCATGGAGTGTTTGTCTTCTATATTCAAGTAGTAGAAAATTTTTTAGAGATAATAAAGCCATTCTTTACCTGAGTAAACTAGGGAAGATGATCTGAAGAAACTGCAAGCGAGTCCATTAAAAACGTGACTTTTAGAAAATCGCATCTCATAATCATACTAGTATGCTTCCTACCCGTAAAACACGAACTAAAATATATAAATTTATTAGTTTTCTACTTTCATCGAGTGTTTTYAAGCAATGTTTAGTTTAATTGTTTCTTATATGCCTCTCTAAGTGTGTCTCCAGTTGATTTACACACCTTCAAAGTGTGAATGTGTTGAATTCTAAATTGGTTCGCGTTCCCGGTGTTTTACTCTTGYACAAATGTACACATTGAAMACTGAAAATATCTTAGGTTTTATAGTAATACTTTTTAGTAAACAAAACTCCTGAAAACTCGACTTTATACTGAGCTTCATGTATTGAGAAATGTTCATTGACTCATTCGTGGCACGGAAGACAAACGGTTTCTGCATCGGAATGGAAACGCTTTTGGACGTCTTKYTTGTMGTTTTATATCAGCATTTTGATAAAGTTCATAGAATATAGTGTCTATTTGGTAAATAACGGAGAACGGACTTAATTAAGTTAGTTTATTAGCTCGTTAAGTGCTTCCCTCAGACGACTGTCCCAAAACAACATGAACACTGTAAATATGGCCGCCTTTCTTGTTTGAACAAGAATCAACGAATTCAACAATAAAATGCGAAGATAAAACTAATGCGCAAACGAGTGAGTTTAAAGTATTTTGTTGTTTCTTATAAGCTTTCATTGATTGAAATTTTTTTCTAGTTTTGTTGATTAGTCTATTTTAGAAAATTTTTTTGATATATGTATTCGACTGGGTTTGCGCAAACAGTGAACTATACTCAAAGGTTACCTTAGTCCTGCACAAAGGAAACAGAGAAAATAGTGGCTTTTCAGTATTTCAATGTAGAGAAAGTTAATATAAAATAGCAAACTAAGCAATGTAATTGTAAAAGGTATTCTGAAAACCAGTGGCAACAACCAAATAAYTCCTTCCAAAATGGCGTCGAGCTATGCCACCAAGAAATTGTTTGTTCATGTTGACTTGCACCAACTACAAGTTCCGTTTATTCAAAAAAACCTGAGATGAGCAAAAATTAAAAATTATATACGCATATAARTTTGCCATTGTCTAAAACACCGCTATGAATTTCACGATGCAACGGTGTAATGGTGTCTTCCTGCAACAAATGGCTTGGTATATTTGGAACATCTTGTTTACTAGTTTCAGAAAGCAGTCAATACTTTCAAAAAACATTTTTTGTACTTATRAATAGATCCTGTTAAACTATTGAGTTCAAGGAAAGTCATTGATCTGAGCCCGAAAAAATATCAATGAGAAGCCATGCTATAGTTCTTAATGCCACTGATAACAGCGCCAAACAGTACAGAGAGACGCAAGCATTCCAACATAAGAGTTTGATAAACAATACTTTATTTCCTTTGTAAATCTCTCTCAGTTATTATACAATCTTTATAATTCCATATATTCTCATTTTCCATAATATGTAAAATAAGCTGGCTGATTGTGTACTCAGTACTGACTTTGAAGGAGAACGATTGTTACAAAATGCTTTCTTGCACAAAATGCTTTCTTGCAAAGCTGGAGTTCTTGGCGATTTGAAAGGAGATTTACATGCGCAGCCTGTCCATACTAAAGAGGTTTTATAACCCGTGGATTTGAGTGACAACGAGTGAAGTGCCTCGCACGTTAAGACTCGTTTATTTTCCCCGTCTTCGCACCTAATTCGTTAGTCAGCCCGCAGTAAAGATAGTTAGACATATAGTCTTCTTTCGCTTCCTACTTATACATGAGCTGTGGAGCGCGACTTTTACCACAGGAATTCTTATTAGAAAATGTCTAGCTTTGAAAGTTTTCAGCAGACTTTATATTTGTGTATTAGCAAGAAGTACAGTGAAGAAGTTGTTGTTGTTTTTTTTCATTGAGGTAGTAGTCCCTACCTATTGAATCCCCTTCTCATTCCACGGCTTGTAGGAATCACCGGTTTATTGTCCTTTTTCCACTTCATTCGTCGATTTTGAAACCAAATTTTKACTTGTCTTTCGGAAAGTTTCAACATGGAAGCCAACTCTGAACGTCTTTCTTTCGTTAGATAACGCGTAAAGTGAAATTCTTTTTCGAGTTCTAGTAATTGTTCTCGATTGTAAGCTTTCCTTCTCCTGTGCTTGAATGGCTGTTTGAAATGCCAAGGTTCATTTTCGTTGTCTTTGGTGGAATCTGCAAGAAAACCAACACTAATGTCATTTCATGTTGAAAGGGGTTCACAATATAGTGAAGTGTGTTTACATACAAGTTGTAATGATTTACAAACATGTTTTAACCTTTTTGTAGCTTAATGCCAAGTACAACTATTATTTCACTAAATTTTCAAAGTATGACAATCAAAGCGGTAATTTAGGAACGGAGCAAAGGATCCCGCAACCATTTCTTAATCCCTCAATACTAACCCAATATTGTCCACAATGCTTCAAATACACTTTTAAGGGATAAACTCTACTGTTTATCTTCGAGTTCAAAGAGATCAAATACACAATATTTTACCTTCTTCATCTGAGAGTGTTTCATAATTTTTCGCACATTTATCTTCATGAGATGCATCTCGTCCAGCGATGTTAGTTTTGTCAAAGTTTTTCTCGCTTTCTGGGGATTCTCCCCGGGTTTCCATTTGTAAATTTGTTGGACATGAAGTTGATGGGAGCATGTTGGCCGGGCTTGACCTTACACTAAGGGAGTCTGCACTCAAGGAATAAAAGGGGTAATAACCTCGCATCCCATAAACGAACGGCGCCGACGGTGGAGCGGATTGACCAAGGAATCCCTGCGAACCRAGGCCATTTATCGACGGAAAATAAAAATCCATGTTGTAAAGAAGTTGACTTATCAAAGGGTGAGGCTGTTCCCTGTTCTGTGCTCTGCACCAATTAACCATTCTAATAGGCGGTTGGGTAGATTAATTTCACATTGCCTCATTAGCCAAAATATATATACGTCACGTGCACACCCACTGGCGCCGGACCGATCGCCGAACGTGTTAAAATGAGTATGGCGTCGGGATGATTTCACACCTTGCTATATAACAAATCATAGTTGATCAGATATTGTGGTCAATAAAGAGCTTCCACGTAATTGGATGAAGTACTGTATGTTGTTTACCATGATCATGTGTTCGATTTGTTTTGATGTGGCCACGTGGTCCCTCGTTGTCAAAGAAACGACGAGTTATCATTTCCCATAATAAGCTTTTGACTATTAAGTCATGTGCGTTGTATAAAGTTTTGATTTGACTTTCTACAAGTTTGAATCTCCTTGGACTCATGAAATGAGAAATAGAATTTTGAATACCAGGAAAAAATAACAGTGGAAAATAAGAGTGGCTTTTTCATAGCTTTCATGATTAATTTGTGCATTAGTGGTCTTATAGTGATATTACTATAATTAAAGTGCTTGTAATAAATCAAATTCATCCAAAATCCCATTTGTAATATTTAGCGGTATTGTGCCAAGTCATGTTTTGTAATGGTAAGGAATTAACAGTAAACTTCAAAGACGAATGTTATTCAAAGACGAGACCTAATGGCGCGCCATACCGGAGTCGCATAATAAAGGAATGTATGTTTGTTGATTGCCGACCTAAACATACATTCACTGGAATTATAGTMGTTGAAATATCTCCACTCGCCATATTTGGTCATCACTTCCAGCTAAGGTTGGCTAAGAGGAGCGGCAGCAAAGCCAGGTTTGTTGCCTTAAGATGTATTCACGTTTAGCGCAGTACATCCGACAAGTCTGAGAGTAATACAAATCAGTTTCTAGGTTACCAATTTTTTATAGATTTTGTTTGTTAAGGGCTAAAATGTTTAARCTGAGAAACGTTTCTCCAAGAATGCCGCTTGCAACGTGCACTTGGTTCCATATAAATTATCTGCACAATAGTGATATGCAATCATTACGAGAATATTTCATCTCGCCGAGCAGCTCTGTTTAGCCAAAACTATGAAGAGTTAAAACTATGAAGAGTTTTATTCGACAKGTTMATATAAATGTCACGTGRKACGGATGATTAAGTTGTCATTCATCTTGATCAAAGAGTATACCTTTTGACCGGTAGTCCCAGCAATTAACATGACCACCGATGACAGAAACCAACAGTCTTGATTTTTTTTCCCAGAAAAAAAATATATATATAGTCTTCGTACGAAGGAATTTATGTATAAAAAATTAGCGGGGAGAGAGAACTTTGCATTACAGAGTCGCTAGCTGCTGCCAAAACCGGCTATCAACTCTGCGTTCATTGCTGCACTGTGCTACATCAAAGGCGCGGTATGTTATTCCTTAAACTTTGTTAAAAAACTCCTCTTATGATCTGAACTGTTCAGACCGTTACACAGAAAATAAAGATTTACCTTCTCAATTTGCCTTCTCAAAGATAGTGTCGATACCTGTTCGAGAAGCCCACACATGCATTGACGGAACTCTTGAGCAAACGCAGCCACTTCTTCGCATACTTGCTGAACAAAAGTCAATTGACCATCGACTACTCAACAATATCTCTTACCAAAAAGACACATTGCAAAACTCCCTCCAAATACAGCAAATTTTGATGAAGTTTTCTCAAGTACACCGAGCATACAAGTTTTACGTTCAAAGCAAGTGATATCGTTGTGCACTGCCTTGCGCAAAGCCCTTATCAGAAACAAAGGAGAGCACGAAAAAATGTACTCTTTACAATAGCTACAAATTTGAATCTTTTCCAATTTATTCTCATAAGGTCCATATACAAATGATTGTATATTTTGATGGGTGTTTGCATCAGTACCGAATGCAACGGGATAAGATGGGATCCCTGTKTACTACAAGATGGCGGCCATCTAATCAAAATTACGAAAATGAGAGTTTTCAATCATTCAAAGTTTCTTGATAGATGACAATCATCCTTGAGATTTCAAATGATGACTGACGGAACACTAAAACTTCAACAAAAATGCACCCAACATATACAAGAACAAGAATTACAAGGAGATACTTTATCAAAAGCATGTGACGGGAAAAAATCACAGTTTGACTAAGAATGTATTTGTCTTTAGTTTGACTCTACACCAATTTTAGATGAAAACTAATTTGATCTTTTCAGAATCCGAGATACATCCTGAATAGTCAGCCACTAGTCAGTTGTTTTGTGACGGCTTGGTGTCACAATCTGAGTTTAGTCTATTATTATCACAGTTTTTGTAGACTTCATAGCGCCACTGGTCTTTCTGACGCGGCAGTGCACTGCAACTTCCTTCTGAACAGAGGCGAATGTCTTGAAACGTTAAATCCTTTATAAGCRTATAATGAAAATGAAAATCATCATAAATTTGCGCGTTGTGAGGCAAATATGTTAAACCCTTCTCAAATAAACAGGAGTCGGTCTGTCTGGTAGTCTCTCTGTAAGCGTTTAAATTTCTTTGTAATAAGAAGGTAACACGGAGTTGCTGTTGACTTTATTTCAATAATGGATGATCACAGTAAATCCGTTCAACGACAATCAGGCGTCATTCTAGAACTCCTACGGAATCATTAATCGTGTTGTGATGTAAGTCGTATTTTACAGCCATAGTATTAATCCAGGTAGGTTGTAGAGTACCGAATTAACTGTCTTATTAACGGATATTGATTGTTGTTCTCGGAAATGTGGTTTATAATAGTCTTGTTAGCTCACGTGCTCAATAATTTTCCAGCGATTGTGGATCGCTTTTTGTTTAAGAGAGGGTTATTTACTAGTAGTTTGAAGATATAAATATTGAGATATAAATTTGATTTTACTGGAATAGAATAATGCTGTACACACGCGTTCAGACTCGATCAGTATTGATTGATATTAGAAGCAGTATATATACGGGATCATAAAATGTATCTAGAGACGATAGGAAGTGCGACGCTAACCATAGTTAATTAACTATCCGATGGTTTGACATTGGCCTTAGAAAACAAAAATCGACAAGGCAAACGTGTTTAGATAAATCAATATCCTCTGTCTTTTGTCATGTTGTAAGGATGACTTACGCAGTTTTCATGCGATGGTTGAAAGCAAAAGTTGTGTACCGTCTAAATTGGCCTTAGAATCTGATACTTTCTCGCCATTTTTTGATCAAGATTAGATATCCAGAGAATCGATGTCGATGAATAACAATTTCAACTCTTAATAAGTTCTTTCAGGGTATTTCATGCATTATAACCTCGAACTGAATCGTTGTTATATTTTAAATCTCTATTTTTTAATAGGAACCTCAAGGATCATTAATTTAATAGAAACGAGCCACGTTTCGATAGTGATTCCTTTTTAACAGTAATTATCTATTTTGCCGCATTTAGTGTAGTTGGGGCTTTACTTTCCAAGACGCTATTCTCAAATGTTGTGCTATAGTTTTCAGTATATCTTGGAGCTCATTTAGTAGTTTTTTGGTTGCCTATCACAGTCATCCAGCGAACCGAAGTATAGCATATTCACTTCACCTCTAAAGAGTGTTCTSCAACAATAAACCCTTACAATACTCAAGAAACAAAACCTTTTACAATACAGGAAGACTTCATAGAGTTCTTACACCGTCGTGTAGCCAGTTAGTCGGTCCACTATGACAGGTTGATCGATGAAGTTCTAAAACATTCCACCAAACCATGGTTTATCTCATTATACACATCGGCGATACGATGCTTTATCTATAGACCTTCTTGTTTAGACAGATTTGCGGGAATACCGACTGAAGGATTTTGTGAGGCTTTAATCCTCAAAAAGACGAAAGAGTTTAGATGGACAGTAAAAGATGTTAAGGGCGCGCAGTTGGAGGCGTAAATTGTACATTACTAGACTTACTTCGAAATCTAATTTGTGTATTGATGAKATCATTTAACATTGCATATTCTAGTAGACTCGCATGTATAAACCGCAGTAATCATTCTTAGGGCTCCGTTTTCATATAAATTCGCTAAGTGAGTTCAGTTTTAGCAAATAAAGAGCCCATGACATGTCCGACCAGTTGTTACTTGACGCTGATTGCTACTTTAGATTTCCTTGAATCCCTGTAGACAGAACCCTTCGAAAAATGATAAATTGCCCCAAGAGAGACATATGTCAAGGCGGATCTCAGCGCATTCTTTTAGCCAGTCTTGTCGAAGAACAGTGATGTCATCTACWGTATGATTGGTCGAGCTTGTTGTCACGTGGAAAAACCAATAAATCATAATGTATCATCGGTTTTTTACTCTGACCTGTTGATTCTACCTTAGCTTGACCTCCTCGTTTGAGCGCATTACAAACACTAGAAAAAGGTCAAAACGTCGTTAAATCTTTTCTTTAGACGGGGTTATTTACAAGCTACACGCAGCGGTGACATGGAGGCAAACACTTCAACAACAAACCAGTCAACTAGACAGACAGCAAGTCCTAGAGCGCCTTCCAACAACGCTAAAAAGGACGACGAGGACCAGAACCAAGAGCAAAAAGAAATTTACCCTTGGATGACAGAGTACAGAGCGAAAGGTAAAGTATTCAATTTAGTAATTTAGATCTGAGCAACAACCATAGCTGTCCCATTTGAGATTGTCAGTTATGCCATGTGGGCGGAGACCTTATGACTCCGTCCTTGCACAACAAAGTTTTAAGAAAGTCAATCGATAATGTACAGTGTTTATGGAGTTTATAAAGCGTTTAAAAGGRTTACAATTTCCAAATCCAGCCTTTAAAAGATAAAACCAAAAGTACTTGAACTAATGTGTTTGTTGGCACAAAAAAACGCCGTGTTTACCTGTTCTGCTGTTCCGAAGGAAAATGTCACTTATCGATGATTCTTTGCTGAACGGTACGTTGTTACAGTTATGTTGAATATCGCTAAATTTGTAAAACAACTCAATATGAAAGAGAGAACTAAATTTGTGGAAGCGGATTATACTCCGAGACGAAAAACACGTCGTTGGCGCCATGAACAAGAGAGGTGGTGTTCCGCCATATTGAGGACGTGTTGTAATCCTCTTTTCGCGGACTAGTAGCGCCTTGTACGTGTCTATCTCTATTGCTTGTATGTAACCCAGAAGTTCTCGTTTATATATTGAAACTCTAAGAGAGATAAACAATGGTTTATGAACAATTGTTATTACCTTTGAAGGGAAGAAAGCATTCTTTGATTAACAAACAACTATAATACTATCTAGCGGCAAAATCTCTTCATTATATATTTGTACAAATACTTAGTACGAATGCTTTTCAAAGTTAATCTTTTTTGCTTCGTAGAACACAGCAATGAAATAGCTTAGCTGAGCGAAAGATCCGATGTTGTCTTGTTTATTTTCTTCATCGACTACAAGCTCAATAGCGAGATTGGCGAAATTGTTTCACTGCGGTACTGCGGGAACTAAATTGAAAATCAGTCGGCCTTTCTTAGTTGACAAAGAACTTAAACTCCTTTCAGAAGTAAAAAAAAACGCTTTAGAGACACGTCTATTACACGATAAATCAATCTATGAATCTTTTAATGAAAAARACTTTGTGATTTATTGAATTTGCCGTCATGATTGTTCCTCGGGTACTCGAATTCTGATGGTTCTAAAAGTCCTAAAAGGGACGCACTTCAATACCAAAACGTCAACTTCAGATAAATTTAAAGTTTAAACCAAGTTATTGAAGTATACAGATAGATATATTGTGATACAGATTAGAGCTTTCAAGTGCAWTTGTGAAATAACTATCCCTAAGTTCGGATCTTTTGRATAGTCAGCCATGCTCTTCAGCCGTGATCAAAAGATCAAAATGGATGCCATCGTATTCCGGCTTCGTCTTCCCACAACTCCTCCATCAAATCTTCAGGACAACTGGCTTATTTTATTTATAASTTTTCTCATTATAAGCCTCCATGAGAATTAATATGATATTTTCCGTATTCTTTGCTATGACTATAACTTCAGGCAAATAACTTTGTCAGCCTAAGACTGCTTTTCGTGTTCTATCCAAGAGTCTATCTTAGTGTTGTTTTAGTACAAATTCTCTGCATACCATTTGTACAATTTCATAACCAGATGTAGGTTTAGAGGTTTTYGATTCCTTTTTAAATTTTTAAGTTGGATTTTCAACTTTGTGTGATATTTGTAAGCGGATTATTTTTTTGCAGTTCATTGAARTCTCGCCTGGTGAGCAACACATCGGACGCTCGGTCTCTTAAGTTTGTCCTAAAATAATAAACAAAGGCGCTCGTAAAATATCCTATTTAAACTCACAATTTAGAMTTCAGGGTAAATCTCTCTGTTTCTAAATTATTGCTCAAATAAAAGCTGCTTTCAATGCYGATCAACATAGTAAGTTTGCTTACTTAAAACTTACTTGATGCGCGTCGACGCGGGATGATCTGAAATTGAGTTAGTCTTCTTCATGAAATATTTAGTTTAGACTTTATTTCTATTCATTCTRTCGCTTCTAAAAATAAGATTGAAAGCACACTTCATATTTTTGTGTTTTATAGCTGCTCCTCCAGTAAAGGAATCAACAAACTTAGCGGACAAACTAAACAGAACTATCTACTCCACAAAACAACTGGTTGAACTTGAAAAGGAATTCCACTACAATCGGTATCTTTGTCGCCCAAGAAGAATAGAAATAGCCCAGTCCTTAGACCTTACAGAGAAACAAGTTAAAATATGGTTTCAAAACCGACGAATGAGATGGAAACGAGATAACAAACTTGTAGAGAAAGCCCTTGAACATGAGATCAAAGACAGAGTAAAGAACCTTGGGGCACAGAATCCACATGGATATGGAAGTCTACCAGGGAGTTCTAGTACGGCCTTTGATGATTCACCCAACGACTGGGCYTCAACGCTACAACAAATGTACACAYTAAGTAATTCTCTGCAGCAAAACTCTTGCAATATGTTGAGTGGCCTTAGTACTTTTACTAATGGCGCTAAAACGTCTAGTGTGCCAAAATCAATATGGCCGCCAACCCGACCACTTCARCCATACTAGTCATTCGTAAGTTGTAGCAAACTATGAACAATCTAATATTAGAAGAAAAAAGTAGTTTATTTTTCACAAAACATCCAAGCAATTGYCTGGACAATTTAACAGTTTTAAATATGTTCCAGTTCAAGTTATAYATTCCATCTATGCAGAGAGTTTACTATAAAAAATATATATATATTTATTTGTGGACTAGTTAGTCCATGCAACACATCAACAAATGAAAACGTATCTTTTTAACTAAATCAGTAACAATACAAAAACAACAAATTCATTGATTCGTAAGATAATCCGTGAGACTTTTTGACATTGTTATCGCGACTGACATTCTTCAAGACTTCCATGGTTGATTGCAACCTTTAGCCAAAGTTTCAATTTTTCAGGAATAGTGATGTACATATAAAGTTCAAGCTTTCTTTTCTAGTTTTATATAAAATGCTATATCGAAGAGTTTATATTTGACATATGTTTATATTTATTTTTCTAACGAAATATTTTGAGTTGTTAAATTTACAAAATTGAGATGTT